ATTGAATATATTGTACTGTTCAGGGTCTCCCTACTGCACGTATGCACGTTTGGATTTCATCTTATACCTAAGGTTGGTGTTCCCGACGCTCCAGCAGAATTCATCACCCTTGAGCGTCATGACGGCTTTCATGGAAACTCTGGGGCGTAAGATTGACCAAGCAGATCGAGAGAAGGCTGGAATTTGTTTACCACGTGTACATAACAACCAATACATTTCCCATTTTGTCTCAACATAACTTGTTATGCCCAGGACAGGTTGTTGCAAAAGAAGACTGAGAAAGCTGACCAGAATCATAGCTGATTAGATACCAATTTGATTTTCATATGTTTTCAGATATTCATATATATAGCATGAGTTAACATACATGACTTTGCCCTAGGATTGTGAAGTCTTTGGCCAACCTGATCGACCTGCTGAACAAGGGTTACGATAACCTTTCGAAACTCCAGGGTGAAGCGTTGACGGGCTCGTGTTCATCTTAGCTTGCCTAGACTTTATTAGAGCACCTGTAGTGTCCTGCATATGTCATATGTATATTAAACACTCCTCACATTGATACATGAGACTTAGGATTGAGGTTGGTGTCATCAAACAAGCCATGAATGACATCACGAAGACCGATGTGGCCATGAACAATATTTTGCTCCGTGCCAGGCATGACCTATATATAGTACGAAAAGGCTTTTTCATGCATGATGTTCTTAAACCTCGAACACCTTCCAAGCCCTGCAGGAACATCAAAGGCAGCCAGCCTCAGCGTGCTGACACTGTGAAGGCCGCAAAGCCGAAGGCCTCACCCAAGGTGAAGGCAAAGGCCAAGGACAAAGTCCCCAGAGTCAGAAAGGGATCAAAGGCAAAGTCTAAGGCCCGTAAGACCCATCCAAAGACCGAAGCCGAAGGCGATGATGAGTCTTGATTTTATTTTATGGCCAGGGAAATCTTGAAGCTATCGGGATCTTGAAACAGATCCATGGGTGTGCAAAGCATCTGTGTTGTTTTGACACAAGTGCAGCCAGTGACCAAACATGGGGAAACTTCGATGGTACAAAAAATGGATCTGTGTGCCAATGCTTGCGTGGTTGGCCTGAATCTACAGCTTCCCCAAAACAACTGTGAAATAATATTGGGATAAAAATCAGGAATTCTTCAAAGCACTTCCCCCCTCGCAGGTGCCTCGCAAATGGCGACAGTGGCAGCCAAAGATGAAGCAATCTCGGAAGGTACCTTGGGCTGGGGTTTCTTTGAGACTGGTTCCATGGTCAGGTGGCTGGAATAGTATTTACAATGTGTCCACTTGTTTTACTTTAATCTACATAACCCCATTGGTTAAAAAAACAATTTAAGGCTGTGAGTCCAACAGTTCAACATGGACTATATATTCCTGAGTGCACAAGCGCACACCCGTATTCTGTACATGCAGTATCCAGCTATTGACCAAATCTAATATCATGGATCTAATACATAACCCTTCTTAGGGGTGCAATCGATACAGTTGACCATAATATAATATACAATCCAAATGGGGTATAGCTGTTTTGACCATCTGTACATTTATAGAACTGCACCCCCAAGTTCCTATTTTGCCGGCAGGTGATGATGGTGACAGGTCGAGTGGAACACCATCAGATCTGGCTGATGAACTCTTGAGAGGTTTTGAGATTGGGGTTTCTTGGTCCCAGTTAATTTATTTTCCAGCGTTCACTGAAGGGGGAATCAAAATATAATCATGGGTTCTTTTTTTCTGGACTCAAAACGTCCACACATATACACTTGCAAAAAAAATAGAGTCCCTATGTGATATGTATATATATATATGTATTACATATATATATATATATACATAAATATATACATATATATATATATATGACCTGCAGCCTACACCGGCCTCCTTAGGCTGACAGTGCTTACCGTGTTGTTCGTCTAGCTCGTGTCGCTTCAAACCGGATGCGGCGGTTGGGTTCCCTGTCTCAGATTGGGATCAAAGTATATAAGATTGGGATCAAAGTGGAACAAACTAGTATGCATTCATTTGGTGAAGAAATAACTCACAACCATAAGGGATTTCTTTTGGGAAAAAACTTAGGTGCAAAAGACCCGATTCTGGACGAGATTGGGCGTTCAGGGAGTACATCGCGGAAGTCCTACAGAAACATCTCCCGCAATTTTCACCGTCAGTTGTACAGACATGACAGGGTTTTACCAGTTAAGGTTTCTATGGTCCCTCTATGGGTATTGCAGCATAGACCAAAGGTCAAGGAGATCAAGCTGCGGTATCCTATGATTGCCCTCAAAGATTGGGCAATGTACTTGCTCAACCAGTGCGCACATCTGGTCTTGGGTGGATTCAAATTGACACAGTCTGCTGAGTTTACTGATATGTACAATAGATTTTGGATTCGGTACCAAAAATTGGACCCGTTACATCCGTTTTTTGAGCACCACCCCAGGTCAGCCTGGGGTAGGTGCATTCCATTCCTAGTGCATGGGGATGAGGGCCGTGGGAAAGCCAAGAATCCCATTTTAATTACCAGTTTCCAAATGATGATCGGACCCCAAGGAGAAGACACCACAAACATCTCAGGGTACCTTATTTATATATATATGAGAACACCGTTTGACATATTTTGGTAATTTGGTGCATTCTGTATTTTTTGGGATTTAATTTTTAAGGGCTATCCTGTCTTCTCCATGTGCTTCCTCCCTCCAGCTTGCCGAGGCACTCAATGTGCTCCAGGCTTTTGGCCTCAATGATGCCAAGCAGCATGTACACCAAGAAGAACGGTGGTGAGAAAACATGGGATTCCATTGCAGAGTTTATGGTGGAAGATCTGACCTATTGCTTCTACAATGGTGTTCAGGTGTTGCCCTGAAAATTCAATCATATGTCATAGTCACATATTTGTGTTATTTGCTATCCAAAGCCCCCAAAGTATGCTATTTTCTTGTCGAACCAACCTTCATACCCAAACAAGGTACGTGACCAAACATTCTACTTCATACTTATTGGAGTAAAAGGTGATTGGCCTTATGTGCGCAAACTGATGTGCCTGCGGACTGGTCCTACCAGCAAGTTGATCTGCCACTTCTGCAATGAACAGGTTTTTGGCTTCAATTTATCATTTACAGCTAGTATATAGCATATACATGTATATACAGCGTATATGTTTGGTGTAGTTATTATGACCCCCCACAAAAATATGGATATCAATAAATATCACCTGGCACATTTCCTCTGAGGATTGGTGGCATCTAGGTCCTTCTGGATCGGTTGCAACTTGGAACTCTTCAGGACGCCCAGAGCATGACCCCTGGAAAAAAAAGGCTTCTCTCCTACGTCAAGTTCCTGGGGGTGAGGCTGCTTCGCGAATACGTTGCGATTTAGCTCACATTTGGGCTATTGGGGTGGGAAAAGAGTTTATTGGATCGGCTTTGCTACTCCTAGCGGGGGAGCTTCGAGTGTGGCCAGGGAGATCTCTAGGAGCAAGGCTTGATCACGCCTATGGCTTGTTCCGCACATGGTGTTCGAATAGCAAGCAAACCTGCAAAATCAATGAGTTCAGATTGAGAACCTTCAAGGTGACCTCGTCCCCCAGTTTTGCATGGATATTTTTTTGTGCTCTTGTGAGGATAAGCTGATAAGCTATATAATTTTGTTTGGAAAAATTGTTTTAGATCGATGTTAGCCTATCTGGGCGCTTGCTGGTAAGGTTGCTGCAGTACCCAAGCCTCAAAGGGCAGGGTCACGATTGCATTGTGCTTCACAAGTGGCTCTCACATGTTTGTGAGGAGATTCAGCGTGATGATTTGGAGCCGGGTTTGAATGTTAGGGCTGGGTGCTCGCAGTCCGGCCATGGTAGTTTTTGTTGGTGGGTAAGTATGTATGGTTTGGTCCCATGTTTTGTTCCCGAATTTAATGCTCCAACATATAGTTTGCCCCCAAAATCTTTGGACATCTTTGGACTATATGTCTCACCTAACCTTGCTCAGGATCCACAACACTATCACCTCTTTGATGCTCTCAAGTACACCGCTGATTCTGGAAACCGGTGGTTTCGAAGTCTCTACCAGTTTGGAGTCTGGATGCCTGGGAATCAAGCAGGCCTTTTATCTGATGCTGCATTTGGTTTGACTGAAACTCAGCTAGTTATACAAGTTTGGGAACTTATTTGAAAACCTTACCCACCAGCACTCATGGCATAAGTAGTACATTGTGTGAGCTAAGGAAGGGTACCAAGCCTTAGCAAGGATGTGCGCTACTGAACAGCTTGCCCTCTTTCGGGTGAAACCTAAGCTTCACCTTCATGATCATGTGGCGACACTAGGCTTTGAAGTTTAAGTGCTACGCGTTGTGCTTTACAAGTTGTTTGCGCAATGTTGCATATGTGTGGGTATGTAAAATTGCATGAGGTCAGATGTGAGGCACTATGGGGTTGAGGAGGAGTTTGAATTCCTCCTCAACCCCTTGAGTTCCTTGGCTTTTGCCAGGTAATTTTTATGGCTTCAGTTGGGGAAAAGACAACAGAATTGAGACGCCAATTTGTTGCAGCTCTATCCTAGGCTTTGCGTGCTGGCAGGATGAAGATTTTGTTGGTCGCTGTGCGAGGGTGAGCCGACGAACCCATGCATTCACCACTTGCTTACGGTCGTTCACTAGAATCCTCATGCAATACAAGCGTTTGTTTAGGTCCTAGATGCCACCAACCCTAATCGCAGACTGGTGTGGAAAAGGCAGCTGAGTGCCTGGCTGATGGCAATCTCTTCGCAATGAAGTGCACGTTGTTGAGTTGTGCTGGGAGTGGTGAGAGTTGAGGGGTTAAAAGGGATATTTAGATGATGTAATATAACTAAGGGTACCCCTCGAGCACTTTTTTGGGGATCGAGCATAAATTCCAACTTCGAGCGTTTTTATCTCAAAACGTACCTCATATATATAATGATATATAAATTATTATTTGATATTATTTATATAATATTATATTATTTATCCATTTATGTTTTGAATAATTTGATTTCAATGTCTATAGGTGTATGTTTTTCCAGAGGCCTGATAAGGAGCAGATGTTTCCTTCCCTTGCAATGAATCCTGATTGTCTTCTAGCCTGAGTCATGAAGTAGCGGCAGAAATCATAGGAGGTCCAATTATCGAAGTCGAAGACCTTGTTCTGAACCTCGTGCATCAAAATCACATGCTCGGAAGCATTTATATGATTTTAAGTCTTTATTTATTGCTGCAATGCGAGGCAAGTACCGAAAGGATTGTTCTTTCCCTGCAAGTATTTTTTATTGGTCCACCAAGCCTCAGCCAAGTGTTGCAAAAGCTCTGCTGGTCGGAGGGGTCGCTCGAATACCTCTCGAGACTCTGATGACCAACTCAAAACTTACAGTAAATTACAGCTTCGTAACTTAAATCACAATTCATTTTGCACAAGATTACAATAGACATCGAGCTGAGAGTCCCAGTGTGAAAGAAGGAGGGAACCTTGGACTGGACTAGGAGTGTCTCAGGAAGACGGGCATCGATCCTTATTGGTCAACTCAACAAATGAGTACGCGATTGAGTACGCTTGTGAAGGGTCGCCAAGTACCGCACTCATCAAAAGACAGGCCGTCCTGGGACCAATCTAGCCGAAGTAAACGTCTCACCTGGCAAAAAAGTTCTATCAATTATCCCTGTCCCAATCAAAAGTGTCTGCAGGACCACACCTCAGCGAAGGCATTGCATCAACTGCGCCGCTATCAACATCAGATCTATCAGCAGCGAGTCTCACTCACAAGTTCCCATCGCCCAAGTCGGTGCCTTCTGTGGCACGACAGCGCGAATACCATGTTCATTTGGTGCCTCGTTTACAAAGGCACATGCTTTGCTGACAAAAAGCAGCTCTTGCATCCGATCCTCCAGGGCGAGCTCCGTTCGTTGGTAGAGAAGACTGTACCTGTCGAATTCCCGGCTGCACTTTGAAACAAAGGAAGGCAGCCAAACTCGCGCCTTGCATCTTGTGCATCGGCTCCAGTTTTTGCCTGGCCAAACCCGCCACCAAACTCGGACGCGCCAACCAGAATCTAATGAGACATAAGAATTACCTGCTTGTTTTTGTTGATCACAAAAAAACTGATTCTACTGGAGCCTGCAATTTGTACAGGAAGGCAGAGTCGAACTCTTGATTGCCTTCTTCCAATTTGGCCAAAAATATCTCAAGGAATTCCTCGGTTCCAGCATGTTCGAACAGAAGCAAAGAACAAAACCCTCGGGATCCCTCAGGTCTCTTCAGTCCGCATCATCTCTGCAAAGGGTGCAGCTAAATCTTGCAATGACTAAGGACTTTGCATTGCGGCAACAGGCATTTGACGAGCGAGGGCCACAACAGGCTGTCATCCAGGACATTGCATATATGTTTGCTGTGATTGCGTGTACTTGTACGATGTCCGACATACCACAGCACTGGAAGATCATCTTACATCCGTCTATCACCGAAAACGATCAAAAACGTGACCGCGCACCTCTGGGGCCACTGGGCCTGAGCACTTTGCAGGCCATCAAAACTGTGCTGATCATGGTAAATGATGGTGCATGGTTGCTGGGGCGAAGGCGATCCTGCTCCCATGGCATGCCGTGGTTCACCAGAGACACTGAAGTTCGGTAAATGCTGAGAAGTTGAAATGATCCTACGATAATCTTTGCTCAGGACGAATTAAAGAGTTGATAATGTGTACATGAGATAAATATTCACTAACATGTGTGTGTGTGTGGTTCATTGTGCAGATAGGATGCAATAGTGCAAGCTGAATGAGAATTCTAGATGGAGTCGGTCTTGACGCATTGCCGCAAAAACCATGGTTATAAGCTTAGATACGTCACAGAGTTGATATGAAGAAAAAGAGCCAAGGCTGTGAAGCACAACGCTTTCCGTCAAGACCGAGCGATTCAAGGTTGCTCAAGATTCAGTTCTAAAGCAGCTCAAGCACGCTCACTTGCAGGCCCCTGTTTTCGCACCGCTGTCACCTCGCCCTTCGTCGGCCACTTGCACGGATTGAAACACTCCCGTAACTTTAACATGATTCCAAGATTTTTTGACAATGCCTTTGTCAAATTGTAATGCCCTTTTCTGAACATTGTTTGCTTTCAATGACTGGTTTTGTTGGCACACACTTCTCCGTCATGAGGCAGGTCAGGACCTGAGTAGAAAATAGCAGAAACCAGTCAAATACATCCAAACGTATGCAAACACTTGGTTTTGCACAGAACTCCTTTTCAAACAGCCAAGCACCCCACGTTGTAGAGGCTATATAGTGGTTGGCGAGCCCAAGCAGCTTGTAGACAAGCTCAAAGTATCCATGAATCCGCGAACGAAAAGAAAACCCACGTAGAAAAAAGAACCTTTGAAAGAAAGGAAAAGAGTGAACTCAAATCTTTCTTGGAGTTGCGAAGCTGCTCAAAGGTGAAGTCGCTGAACTCGTTGAACTCGTTGAAGTCGATGAAGTCGCTGAGGCCTAGACCTGTCAAGTGCTGTAGAATCTGCGGATCCCTTTCTACGGCTTGGACCTCCTGCTATTCGATAGTCCATGTCCATCAACATGAGTCACGGTGAGTCACTCGAGTCTCGGCTTTCCTAATCGAGATTTGCTAAGGCTGCTAAGGGGATCGGCATCACGGTCTGCATGCATGGAGATCACGCACAAGCCTCGGAGCCTGAATCACACAAATGCGCCTTTTCATCCCTGAATCCACGAGGTTGTAGTGCTACCATAAGAGAACACCAAGAACATCTGCATGACTTCTTGGAGAATTCCTTTGACGGTTTCATTGATGCCTGCCATGCTTTGGAAACCTCAACCTGCACAAGTTGCCACGAGTTCCCCGACCTTTCCTCACGTATAAACTGCACGAAACTGCGCAAAACCTCATTGAAGTTCTGGCCATGCAGTCGTGTAGACCTCCTTTCCACAAAACTTGGCGATGCATGCACCTATGAACGCTCCCACCTAGTCCTAGTTGAGGTTTCACATGATGTCGTCTTTCATCCCATTCTGCTTGAGGACAAAATGCTGACTTTCCCTCAGGGCTTTTTCGGGGGTTGCTGTGAGTGTACGTGGACTTCTGCAGGATTCCTTTGACTTTCATGACTTTCCCATCTGGAAGCCAGGGGTTTCAGAATGGGCCTCTGCAGCACCGGAGTTGAAGGAGGAGTTCTTACGGGACATTTGTTGAGAGCATCCATCATCCATTCTGAGATCGCGCGACGTAGATCCGGAGTGCAGAGCTCTGTTGTATTCTGTGGTTGTTTGTTGATCTTGACATGGGCCCTTGACATGCCCTTGACATGCCCTTGACATGCCCTTGACATGCCTAGAGCTGCCTGGAGCTGCCTGGAGCTGCCTGGAGGAGAGAAAATGAAGGTGCCATGGAGCGACGTTCTCCTTGATCGATATGTAGCTGCAGACAGTCAGCACTGGAGTTGTCTCCAGTTGTGCCGCTGCAGAACCTCCCTAGGAGGTGAGAACGAACAGTGCACAGTTTGTGCCTGTACTCAGCTTCCCTACAAAAACTATAATGAAAAATGATTAGCGGGTGCTGTTGCTTGCCTTACATGTGGAAGGACATGGCTACCTTTGGGGTGGCGCAGTGGTGCACAATACAACTATCTTATCTAGTACTTTATCTAACATATGTAACATTACATAAGTCATGATGCATATAATTTATATGCATTATGTGTAATGTATAATCTTATGAATCTTATGTTTACTTTGATTTTGGTATGTTGATATAAAGGCTGCGTCTCAGAAGTTCGTGGTCAGCGGATTCCTTTCTCCTTTCCAAAGCCTGGCAGCAAAATTGCCCGGGCAAACGTACATATCCTCTAAATAAACGTGAAAAAGAAGACAATTTCAAAAATAACATGCCATGGTAAAAAATAGTCATATCAGGTATGGTCCTCCATCCAATAATGGGAATCCTTCCAATGGACATATATATAAACCCCTATGAATGGATTGATGACCATCCCCCACGCGTTTCTCATCCATAATTTTATCATGGCACATGCGGCTTGAAGATGCAGCAACCATGACTCTGCAGAAAATACAAGTCAGGGCGGCCTGCTCCTGCTTCCTTGGCTTGGATCTTTTGTCTTTTGAGTGTTCCATGTTCTTACTTTCTTGTTGGCTTCTTGACTTTCAAAATTGGAAGGGCTCGGGCATGATTTGAACAAAGGCATGGCGGAAACATGATGGCATGATGGTTCGGAATAGCGATGGTTCTTTGCGGTGTCAATTTGTGAAACTTACGTACATTCGGAATTGTTGGATGCTCAGCACAGTCATTGGCTCCATAGATGCCATAGACCCAAAGCTCGCATAGGCATGCATAGGCCAAAGCCATCAAGGAGCGACAGCGAGATGAGGAGCAAAGCTGTGCTGAGAGAGCACATCGAAGACGTGGCTTGGATATCTCGGATTCATTTGGCACCTTCATATCAATGTGACCTCCAAGGTGGCTTCGAGACTCTGAGGCAGAGCCACTTCTCGAAGTTCACAGGAGCACGAAGACATTGCGGTGGCCTCTTGTGGCCTAGTCCAGCACGATCCAGCACGAAACTGCTGAAGTCTGTGCCGTGGAGGCGATACGGCGATACGGGGCACCTTGAGGCACCGTGACCTTGGCTCTGGGCTGTCGAGTCCCGCCGTGAACAGATTCCCTCGGTGAAGCTCTACGGCGTCTACGGGAAGAGGCGAGGAAGAGCTGCACAAGGTTCACAGCGTGCCAATGAAGATATCATCGCGTCCTGCCCAGCTTTGAGCCTCGGAATCGCTGCATTGCTGCATTGCTTTTGAAATCACAACACAAACATATCGTATCATATCGCTGCATTGGTAAAGGTTCCAAAGCTACACGCTGCAGAAATCATCGTCCAACCATAGACAATAGAGAATGCAGTCACAGGCCAGAAAAGGCTTACGGTCACAACTAAAACATAAGCTTACACATCCTTACACATCCTTACACATCCTTACACTCTCTCAGAACCCGGTGACCACCAGTGCAAAGGCGCCCAAGGACCACAGTGGAGCCAAAAGGTGCCATTTTTTTCAAGTGCCAAAACTATCCAAAACTCTAGATCAACAGATATCAACAGTTACCGAAAGTGATTCGAAGTGTCTAAGACCTTCAAGGCATTTCAAGGCACTTGGAGACTTGGAGTCTCAGAACCTGCTGAAATCCTAACGTGGAACCTTTCCCTGGAGAGACTTCATGACAACCGACTTGGACTATCCGGACCCATGGACAACCTTCCTTTGAACCTCAACGCTGAACTGCGGAACCTTCCCCAGCTTTCCACCCCAGTTTGCAAAATGTCCTCTGTCTAGCTCTTGGAAAAAAGTAAGGCTCTGACGGAGACGCAGCTCCACTCAATCCGAAAGAGAAGCGACCTGCCTAGCAAAACCAATGCGGAAGCTATCAAAGATTAGCAAAGTAACTTGACCAAGTGTTTCACAGCATCTAGCAGTGCAGTTCAACCAATGCCTCCGACCATATCGCAAGACCACCCAGCACTGAAGAAGAAAGCGGAACCTGGTTTATCCATGTTTATCCAAGGTTCCAGCTCCAAGAAGCATTGATCTCCAAATTCTGTCATGGCACACACAGGAAAACTGGGAATTCCACAGACTGCGCTTCCGCTGAAGGGCATGAAAGCTCGGACCTTGCAACATCGGACCCTAGAAAAGGACAAAACACTCTGCTCAGTCTATGCTGGTGAAGCAGGTCTGGGATTCTGGCATTGTGAGCGAGCCCGGCGCCTCTTGAAATGATGTGCCTGGGGATTGCAAGACACAGGATAGCACAGGATAGCACAGGATGCATATGACTATCATATGACCATCCTATCCCGGGATGTAAAATTCTTTTGATCTGCAGTTTCACTGAGCAAGCTGAGCAAGATGCAAAGTTGCAGTTCCCATGCCAGCAGAGAGCCAACGCACTCTCCAAACACAGCAAGACCTCTTGATTCACGTGTTGAAGCAGGTCGCGTGTCAGACTTGTGGCGACTTGTTGATCATTCATTCTCCGACTCTAGTATATTGACACCTACCCTAATACAAACGTACTACAACAGAGAAAGAGTACACTGCAAGCCTGCTCAATGTGATCAGGTCTTACGTTCTGCTAAATCCCTACAACTGACCCATGCAGCAGTTGTTTCCAAGTTTGCGGAAAGTGCTCGGTTCAAGCTGGGTTTATGGCGTCCAGCATTTCCAGTAAGCGATGGAAGCCACAGAAGTGAGGTTACCTCAGTCAAATGTGAAGCACCGGACAACACACCTTCGATATTTTGACCACGTATTCTTTCCTCAAAAGGAATTGTGATCTCCAAAACCGCGCGAGAGGATTCTTGACCATAAGGCACTCGACTGAGACCAATTAGAAGGGCCGCAGTCTTGAGACAGTCCTGGTTGCTCAACCCTGGTTTCTTCAAGAGCCCGGGCCTCACAAACTGCAGTTGTGGACACGGTCCAAAGAAGGTGAGGCCTCGGACAGTGCACGTAAGGCTCCAAAAACAAACTGTTCATGCTTTCTCCAGGCTAGTCCCAGGGTGATCAGGTGATCATCATGCTCAAATGCATTCAAAATATTTCAACATATGTTTTTGATTGATTTTGATGTATTGAAATGCTCAGATGCTGAGGGCGTGGCGCGATCTCTTTCGCGCCATCAAGGGGCCACGCCTCAGGACTCGCAGACCACGATGCGAGATGCGAGATGCGACGGCAAAGCTAGCAGCCGGACCCAGCCACGAATCTCGTCTGGACAGGCCGTGGCCAGGAAGCGTCCACCCGGCAGCACAGCCATCCCTGGACGCATTCAGATTTCACGCACTATCACGCACTCATGAAATCTCATGAATATCGGTTCAGTTTGTGATGAGTTGTGGTGAGCTGTGATTCTTGTGAGGCCAGGTGTTGTTCTGTTTGGAAACAACATGACCTCCCAAACACTTTTTTCTTTCAAACACCAGGATCGCGAGCAAAAGACTCCTTTCAGACCTGTCATTTCGAAATCTCATTATGCATCTTTATATACAGCATATTTACATACATTATTAATCATTAATTGATATGTTTGTGTCTTCTGCATGTGTTTGTGAGTATGCATGTCCCGTGTGGGTGCGTTTGCGCACAGGTTTCTACGGCTCCAAGCAGCATGCGGCTTCCTGCTTTGTGACATAAACAGTCCGGCCTTGTTTATGGACTCGACAGACACCCACAACCACCACAACACACAATTGGCTATAGTTTATAGTTGGTGGAATCAAAGGAATTACAAAGCAGTGCCAAAACAGAGTCGCACAGCAAAACAAAATAAAACCCCATCTCGCCGCGCCTACAAGCATTTGCCGGTGCGGATTCCGAAAGTCCTGCAGATTGGAACTCTTTAGATTTGAAGTGGCTTGCAGCCTGCATTGACGATCCAGTAGGACTGCCGTTATAATCCAGTATACATATCCTGATTGTGCCTCAGTCACCTGTCACTGAGAAGGCCTCAGACGGTTTTTATATTTATTCGGATTACTGCACTAGCTAGGAAGGAGATGGAAGGGACGCACTGTGGCCACCTACCCAAGTCGAGAAATCTTTAAAATTAAAAAAACAATGAGCCCGATCCTGAGGTTGCATGTCTTCGCCGTGAGACAGACTCGCCTAGGTCGTCGTTGCAAGATGTTGCAAGGCCGTCCACTCGGCATCTGCAGGATTCCTGGATTTGGTCTGAGGGCAGCTCGCACTCCAACAATGCCGAGCGCTTCCACACCTGTTTCGCATCATTTTCGCATCTGATTTGCGGCTCGCGCCGTGGATGTGCCTTGTGCCCTGTGCCATCTGCAGTATACTCATAGACTCACCAAAGGTTCAGTTGAGAGATCGCCGCTGCCTTTTCTCTTGAAAGCAAATTGCTCGTGAATGAAACAAATGAAACAAGATGGCAGGATCCAAATTCTTTGCTTTGGGATGTTGGAATTCCAGTTACTACCTCAGTATGTTGATGGCAAGCAATGCGGTTGCCAGATGTTACCAGATATTATATACAGATAGTTGAAACTGCCATTCTGAGGCTATCAATGGCTCTCATGACATTGAGGTTTCCGAGGTGCAAGAGCTAGTCATTGCTAGCCATGCTCGGTGCCCTCATTAATACATCTCTGCGCGGAATATCAAAGACCCAACCACAACCTTCAGCCCCACGATCCATGCGCCGGACCTCCTCCAAAGCTCCATTGATAAAAATGGTGTTGACTGAGCTTGAAGCTTTCACTCCATAATAGTCATGGTCATGGCCAAAGCAGTGAAAGAGAGGCGGCTGGCTCAACTGCTTCAGTCGGTTCAGTAAAAGCTCGCAGCCACAATCGGAAGAACACAAAATCCGGTGTGGTGGCACATGTGTCATCAAAACATCTAAACCTTCTGGAATCTGAGACCAGATTTGCTGCCGCTCTGCACGGCGCCTTTCAAAGGCATTACTCAAGTAGCGCTTCCCAAGCGTCTCTTCACGACAACACACTGTTGGACTTCCCCAAATTTTGAGCCCTTGATATTCCACTCCAGTATGCTCTAGATATCGGACATTGGAAGGCAACTGAGAGAGAAAAGCCCTTTTGACTTTGGCCGCCTCTCTTGGGTATCTTTCCTCATCAAGCAAAGTGTCATGATTGCCTGCAATGATTGCAATGAGTTGAAAGCGGCTACTCATCTTCACCAACCAATCCAAGAAGTCAGACAAGTGCTTTTGTATGTCTCTGTCCCCGTAGTTTCCCACGAGATCGCCAGTGTGCAAGAGCACCTCCCCTTCGGGCAAATAGACATTTTTGTGATGGTGATGAGTGTCTGAAACGTGGACGAAGCGAACAGGTGGAGGCGTGCAGAGTGAAGAGACAGTAAGTGATCGTGGCAATGATTCAATCATTTGTATCATGTCATCTAGAAACTCATTCAAGTTCTTGAGAGCTCGATGAGACGACCCAAGCGATCTCTCCAATGCACGGTTTTGCTCAATCCGGAGGGCAACGACCGGATAGTCTGCAGTGGTCTTGTAGATGGCCAACTGACCAGCTGGAGTCTCATCTTCAATTTCAGCTGCTCCCGGCTCAGGGGGGTGGTCTGATGAGCTTGTGTCTCGCAGAAAGGAAGCTCTGCTAGCCTGTATTGACAAGATCAGCCTTTCTAATGCTTCAGGTGTGCACATTACTGCATCAGCACCTGCATCAGTACAAGCCTGGGCCATTCCACTGTATTTACATGCTGTGTGGCTGAAGACCACCATGGTTGGAGATGGCTGCAGCTTCTTCACTGTCGAGATCAAAGTACTTCTGTCAGCGGCACCATCAAAGATCAAATCAGCAGGAGTTGTTCCTAGAGCAGCTACCACAGCACCCCAGGGGCCTTTGTTACAGACCTGATCCAGGGCGTCTTGATTTGTTGAAACTCTCACAACTGTGTAATTAAAAGTGCTAGCCACACTTTTCACTGTGGCAGTGGTCTCTTCACCTGCCAAGCAAAGAATCCGCGGCGCTGGTGCAACCAGCAAATCGATTAGACCTTCAGCAGAGCAAATGACACCATCAGCTCCAGCACGTCTGCATCGGGATGACACGTTCTTCTTCTCGCATGCAGTCCAGCTGAAGACTGCGACCAGTGGGGGAGGCTCAAGCTGCTTCGCAGCCAAAATAAGACTGCTTTCGCTTCTACCACTTCGGTCGAACAGCAGATCGACACCTCTTCGTGTACCAAGCGCAGCCACCACGGCCATCCAAGGGCCCTTGGGGATTTGCGCCATGGCATCTTCGAGTGTCGTAACAGCTGTTACGGGCAAGCCATAGTTTTGTGCGACCTGTCGAACGGTTCCAGTGGTCTCTGCACCTGCCAAACATAGAATCCCTGCTGTCGACGCACCGCCGAAACCTCTGCCAGAAGGGGCATGGCTTGCACCGGCACCCATGATGTTCTGCCGGGTCAATCCTGTGTCATGACAAAATGTATGTGAAATTGATACTGGATGGTACTGGTACCAATTCCAAGAATTGTTGCTGTGCACTTACTTGAACACATGCTTTACATATCATTGATCACTGTGTATTTGCTTCTCCTTTGTCGATCATAGGGCCGCTTGAATGGGTCATGTCTGAAAGTCAGAAGCAGCTTCATCGGTGCCTACTAACTCAAAAACAAATGAGTGTTGAGAGACATGGCAGAATCCTTTGTACTCTACACTGAAGAGCTACCGGGATTCGAATCATCGGTAGTGGTAAATACCCTATAAATGGAAGCCACAGCAGTGCTTTCAACATTGCTCAAATACAGACCCCCTTGCACTGAGTCAGGCAGCAAGCAGCAAGATGCAGCAAGAGGATTTATATAAGGAGGGAATTAAAGCATGTCGAGGATGACCCGAATCGCTTCATCGCACTGAACAAATACCTTGGCTGTGAAAACTGATCAATATTATCCTCACTGGAGACAGTACAAAATGAAGTAAGGAAGTATTGACTGTAAGAGAATGGGATAGCAAAACAAACCTCCTAGGCCCAGACGGCTTGACCCTCCGCAACAATGCAAGGCCTACCATCAGTTCTGTGCTTTGAAACATTTCAACTATAGTCGACACATTGCGGAAAGGAAATAACAAGAAATCTGTTTGGAGCTGCTTGGTAGGTTTAGAAAGTCGCTTCCCTGACCTTGCTGCAAACAGCAGCGGGACTTCATGGAGAATCTCGCCCTGACCTCACACAAAGAACCACCCAATCTGCTCCAGCTTCTTAGGCATTTCACATCGCTTTGGCAGTGAAGATTCCAAAACGCATAGAGAACTGCAAGCCTAGCTGGGCCTAGCTTGCTTATTTTCACAGCAGTATGGTCCGGTCCTGCTTGCCTTTTGAGAACTAATATACAAAAGTGACACATTGAGGGATGGTGCGCGATGAATTACAATGTGCTTTCTCTTAGTATGCACAGCTGCAAGCATTTCTCAGGAGGTGAGTACAGAACGCAAGGCATGCTTCTGTGCTTTCTATATTTTCTATGGATAAGGAATGATAAGGGCCAGGCGCAGGTTCACAACATACAGAGCCCTTCTGCTCGCGACCAAACCCATGAAATTCACCTTGGAGCGACCAACAGTCAGTAGAATACCTACTGACACTTCATTGGATCTCTTGTCGGGGGCAGGAATCGGAGTGGATTCGCTGAGTCCCAAACGATCACTGGGGATTGTGGAGGAAGAAGTACTTTCAAGTGAATGTTGACCTGCCATGAGAAGAGTTGCATCTTGAGGCAAGCTTTGACTTTGTCCAGAGTCCAGAGCAGGTCCATTTTTTTAATCAAGGGTTTCAACCTTGCCACTTAGCGGAGCCTGCTCGTTGTGTGAAGGAAGCGAGAAAACTCGCAAGGATCCAGAAAACATGGCTGCCAGAAGGCAATTGTCACCTCAATACACGGAAAGTCAAACTATAGAGATGGGTAAAATTACGAGTTGATAGCTCTTCCCCCTGGAAATGCTATGACACATATGATTTCATGTCTCAATGGCCGTAAATCACAGTGCAATTCGTGTTTTGAACAATATCTGAAACGTCACAAATGCTAAAATGCCTTGGCGAAATCAGAATATTGAGCTGTTCACCAACTGCCAGCCCGCTAACCTTTGAGTCGGGTCAAGTCTGGACATTCATGGACATTCAAAATATGTCGCGCGCGATAAAATCAAAAACAAATCCTGAGCCCAAAGCTCGCTGGGGACAGCCGATGGTCCAAAATCCTGAAGCTGATCTACGAAACGGCTTGAAAGAGGTGAAAGACGAAACACAAGTCTCTGGAACAAATGAAGCATTGATAAGCTATCGGAATCTATTAATTGTAGAACCGTATAGATCTCTTCACTGTTTTGCTGCAAATATGTTGGTATGGTCATTGTCAACATATTTGTTCCTTCACAGCAAAGGTGCTGATTTCAGCAGTGGCTCAGTTATTTCCCAAAACCCTCTGTTGTTTGGTTCGTTCTGTCTTGTAGAGAAACCCTGCCAAGGATCCCAATAGTTGCTAAATGTTCATACTGAAAGCATAAATGGCTTCATAAGCTCAAAAAAAACGGATTGAGAGCTGAACCTGATTTAGACGCAGCATCTGGACTTGCCACCAAACGAACCTGCACAGAAGGGTTAATTCTCAGAGTGCTCAGAACAAGGAAACGTTCGACAACTGATAACTGATCGTCGCAACAGTATCACTGAGTTTCATTTGAAAAGGCACCTCTTTCACGCGAGAACCTTCCTCAATATGCTCAAGGAGCTCAAGCAACTTGATGCGACCATCCTGCGCCAGAGAGCAAGATGCAACAAGTCTCCAACAACATCTCCAACCGGTCCACAGCCGGTCCAACCAGTTTGACATCAGAGCTGACAGCATTTGACAGCAATTGACAGCAAAATGAGCAGCATTTTTTGCTTTTGGCCTCGCAGCCAGCATAGAGGACGACTCTTGGCGCAAGCAGAAATTCAGCAATGATCAGGACGAGCTGCAGCCCGCGCTGAGCCAAGCCTCTCACCACAAAGGCTTCTTAAAATGTCTTAAAGACAAAGACGTGAATCGTCGCGAAACGGCGAAATCATCTGTGATCATCTGTGACTTTACCATTTCCAGGAAAAACAGGCGAAATCTTCCAAACCTCGCAAGAGTGGTCCAAAATGTCAAGTTCTGAGGCTCACACGCCACGGAAGAGATCCTTCGCCGATCTTCCGATGCGTGCAGCTCAGGAAGGCTCTCAGTTCCTGCAATGTCACAACTCTCGGCACCGCAACAGAACCAATCAGCTAGTTACAGCTACAAGTAGTTGGTTGCCTGGACTTCTGCTCGCAACAGCTGGTGGAAAAAAATGCTGGCTGCGTCCTTCACAGAAGCTTCTGTGTAGCACCCAGCAGGGACTTTGAATTCAATGTGATCCATGGCTGGACAAAAAGCCCAAACAACCCTCGCTATTACAGGTGAAATTTGTCAAAGTGTGCTTGTGCTGCTACTTCTCACACTATCGATCCAAAAGCTGCAAAAGCATGGCACCAGACAGCCTTGATTCTGCAACCAAGCAAGATTGAACCGCTGATATAATTATGTTTCTACTCTGGCTTTGTCATGTCAGCCCCTCAGCAGAATTGCACCCATGTATACATAATCAATGCAAACCTAACTTTGCAGTGTATAACCATATATATATATATTTATGTATGTATGTAGATATATATATATATGCGTGTGTATATATATATATACATATGTATATCATGTACTCTTTTTGTGTATACTGTATATTATAGTCGGATATACTTTAATATGTGCACTGCTGCTTGTATATATGAATAATATACATTATCATTATACTTGAATTGGGCACAGAGTGATATCGACAAAAAGAACGAGGGAGGAAACAAAAACTGCAAAGCTTTTTGGCTCCAGCGAGCTCAGCAGAATTGTCATACTGAGCGGTCTCTGACCTTTCATCACTCCTGATCCTAACTACACTGTGTACCACCATTGGTACTACGTACATCTACGAATCTACTTACTACCAAACGTCTTGTGAATTTTGAACCCCAGAAATCCCCAGAACTGCACTATAAGCATGTGACCAAAGCAAGAAAAAAGATATGTTCTATTATGTTATTATGGTCGAATGCTAGCAAAGGATAACCAAGATGAATCTCTGTTCTCTTCTCTGGCTGTATTTTTCGTGAAAGTGGTCATGAAAATCTTCTTTGAGGAAATGCGCGTAGCCCTAACAAGCAGCACAGCCAGTTGAGCCGGCTGCTCCACCCTGGCTGCCAACCTCGTGGCGTGTATGTTTGAATCGAATGGCTCAGAAGGAATGCTGAATACTGAGTCGAAGGCTGCAAAGCCTCTTGAATTATCATCCTCCTGTTCAGCATTCAAACTGACTCACTGACTCATTTCAAACGGCAACAACAGCTGGATTCCAAACTTAAACAGCTTCAACCTGCATGTGCCTGTCCTGCGATTGCTTGGGCAAGCGAACTGCAATCCTGTTCGCTCAGGAATCAGTCTTCTTTCACACAAAAGCAATCTCATCTCGCTGTTCCTCCCAGCAAAAACTTCGTATGCTCCACATGCATCTGGTCACATCCTTTACAAAACGCAGGAGACGTATGACGGGTCATATGCGTGCACCAATGATAAATCAAACAATACATGACGATAAATCGTAATTCCTGTCGTGCCGATTCTTCTTTGGTTCTTTAAAACTATAACTTGTCTAAATAGTCTGAAACCCTGTTTATCTTCCATGTTTGAAACCGCAGCTAAAACCTGCAGGAAATGCGTTTTTAAGGCGCGAATTGGTACATCTAAACTTTTCTTCATATCGAAATAACAAGCAGTCAGGAACACATTTAAAAAAAAAATCTTTGAACATGGATGTGAAAAAAACTGGCGCAAACCTAGCGGGTTTGCTAGCTCTACCTTGCAGAATTGGTGAATCTAGTTGCGTGCCGTCTGATAACGAAGAGGAAAAAACGCTAGATCCACACAAATTATCAACAACTAGTAACTAGTACAAAACTTCTGTCAACTGTCAACTATTTTTACAAATGGTCACATGCTTGGTCCATCTTGGTCCGCCAAACGTACCAAGTGACTCGTGGAAAAGTTCGTTCACATTCTGCCCGCTCTTCGCAGAGGTCTCCTGGACAAAAAAAAGTCCAATTCCTTTTTGCAGCCTGATACTCTGAGTGCCGCACGCGAAATTCAGCAAGGCAATGAAAGCACAATTAATCAGCGAAAGCAGGAAATGATCTGAGGACAGAGAAAGGAATATCAATGGACCGACAGGACACACCAGGACCTCTACCAGAGGGAGACCCACCCAAATAGCCAATTTGAGCAGAAGAATGAACACTAAGGAAAGTGACTTTGTGAATAGAGACAGGTTTGAACAACCCAACAAAACCACTGAACGTCCCAAAATGGATGTCGCTGAGATTCATGCAATGATGATATGAAGTGAATTGTCCATGGCATGTGAAAAAAAGGTCCAATTCCAGAAGAGCCATGAAGAGCCACTTTTATGCACTCACAAACCTAATCCTTGGTTTGCTGGTTGTCTAGTCATGCAACACGTCAAGTTTTTGTCCCAGAGTAGCTAGTCGTTGTTTGATTGTCTTGCTCAATCTTACAGCAGCTCCATGTAGAGGATTCCCATCTGGTCGGCATAGTTCTTGGCCATTTCTTTGTCCACTGCTCTGCTTGCCTCCAATGCTCTCCCAAGACTACAATCGACGGACGCTCTGCAACCAAAATTATGGATGATGATCCATGATTGCAATTCTTCGCATGCTTGCCACAAAGATGCTGATGATTATGATTGGCAGAAACCAGAAAAGTACTGTAAGAGCAACAATAACGACTGTCATATGATTATGATTCTCATGGTAATCAGATACTGCTCGCAGTACAAGATCCTGTGGGATCAGCTTGGTCTTCCCTAAGACCCTATCGTGATGACATTAGTCCTTGCCCAAGAATCCATTTAGATCGTTGTCTATGCCTCCAAGTCTGACTTGTTCCCCGCAAGTGCAATCAGGGTGTCCTGCATCGGATCTGACTTAAGCAACATGTTCCCCTCAGAAATGCCAGCAATTTCTGTGATGTGAGCGTGGACAAGAAAATTCTGCCAAAAAGCAACTCCCGTCCGTGTTTTGCAACTCCGCCACCCAAGATTTTGCTGCATCAAATGACTCCTGGAAACAAACGGATTCTGTTAGGTGAATGTCTATCACACTTCACAACCAATCAATATTTCGAATATTTTCGAATGGCTCTGTCTGCATCATAAGCAAACAGCTCCCGAGATGTGATGTCAAATACAATCACAGCGGCTGCAGCGCCCCTGTAGTACCTTGGCACCAAAGCAGCAACTGGACGTGTCAATAGATGGACTGCCAGTATGGTTTAGCATGGTCTATGGAGTCTATGTATCCATGTCATGTGTCTTGTATCTGTGTATGCATAACGTCGTACACATAGCAAAGGCCATGTTCCACCATGTATGTACATATGCATGTTATGAGTCATGACCAAACTCTTTCTGGTGATCCAAACATGAATCCTGCCAAGGACAAGACATTGGAGCAAGGCTTTTGTATCGCTCCTAAGAAAGTGACCAAATCTGATGAAAATGAAATACTCACTTTGTCAGCTGTCTGCAGTGCTCATGGCGGTCCTGCCCAGCTGTATCCCATATCTCATACTTGACGACCTCAAACGAAGCTTCGAAAACGCCTAGTTCAAAAAACAATCTCACCAGAAGATCACCGTCACAATCCGCCCAAAAGCTTTCCACGAAGTGATCCAAGGTGATGCTACACGGTGTCGACTTACATAACTCACATCACGTGGCTGAAGGCACATCTTGAGTGGCAGGCACTGTGAAAAAGTCACATCATGGGCATTGTTTTTCGTAATAATTCATTGAGGGCACCAGTAAATTCCGCAAATCTTGGAAATTGGCAGAAATCCAAGAAACATTGCAAGCGCAGTCAGAATGCGCTTTGTTCCTTTAAATTCTCAGTAAAAATGAACTCAGCATTGCAGCACACAATCATAATGCACCTTTTGCTCTCAATGAACTTATAGGGAAGAAGAAGAAGAAGAAAGATAAAAACAAGGAAGAAAGCAGATCAAGTATGGAACTGAGTCAACTAGTGAGAAAAAAAACGCGCGGGGGCCATGGTAAAATAGCAAAAATCAATGATTTACTACAAGTATCTAATCATAGGCTATGGTAGAAGCAAAAACTGTGTTCTTATATGGTGGGTGCCACTGTGGTGCCACTCAAGATGCGCCAACAAGAAGATGCAACTTAAGTCAATACCCCTGTCAGGTTATGCTAAGTCTGCAAAGTCACCTCTGTGCTGAGACTAACAGTCTGGGTCATGAAAGCTGCACCGATCGTGGGCTCCTGCGCTGGCAACAATAGCAAATGTTGTTCCAATGATCAGGTGATCTCAAGCGATCTCGAGTGCACTTCAGTTGCTGCATCAAACATTTGACCGAACACAATTCACGGGTGTCCTGGTACTCATAGAACTCTCCTCACCAGCCCATGCTAGATCCAGCTAAATCCAAGTCTAAAAAGGTTCAAGTACAAATCTAGATCTGCTACATTTCACAACTTGTTCCGAAGGGTGATGTCAAATGTCACAAGACTTTCAATCATCGACATAGGTGTTGAGTTCTGGCTCCCCGGGCCTTTGGCAAATCTGACAACCAGACCTGCACTAATCTGCACAGCTACAAACAGCTGCAAATATCACAAGCATAATGTTTTTTTCAAAAAAATACCTAAAGGATCCTAAAGGTCCTTTTCTTTTGGTTTCTTCCACATCTTCCACCTTGCTTCTGATTCTCAGAGCTCAGCTTCTGGCAAGACTTTCCAACTGAGGCATCTCCAAGAAGCACCAGCTTGAAGTGGAAAACCTCATAGGAAAAGCTTGTGCAGCAAGTGCATGGTGCAGCAAGTGCAGCGTTTGGCCTCTTCTAGGTTTCTCTCGGAATTACATCAATGCACTTGAGCACTCACCAAGAATCGCAGCCCATGTTCATCAGCATGGGAATGGCTACTGAAGGGAATCAAAATGGGAGCCCAACCAGGACATGGTTCCCCTACCTGCCTAAGGCACAAACTCTAGGTGGGGTACCAGACGCCATTGCGGAGATTGAATCTCCTGAGAGTTCTTTCCTGCCTCTCCTGTCAAATGTACTTGTGATTTTATCTACTCCACCGCACAGTCTGACAGCTTGTCTTCAGTCATTCAGGAAATGGTGCTAGACTTAGCCACAATCATGTGAATACCAACTTTAATTGAGTAGATTTGCCCTATGGCATTGTATGTATGAGAGCTGAGCTACTGATTGCTGACAGTGTTGGCTAAGAAACTGGAACCAAAATTGCTGACCTGCTCACGGGTTGATGCATGTCAGGCTGGAGGGCTGCCAATACAGTCATAGCATTCAACTCAACACAAAGAAAGTTCAAAGTCCGGCCGATAAAGCTACAACAAGCACGGCAAACAGTTGACCGTCTTTCGCTGTGCTGTCCATGATGTGTTTGGTGGCCTCCAAAACTATAGTCCACACGCGAGCAACTATAGAGCTCAGCAGCGGGTCAAGAGACTCCGGTCACATTGCGTCAAAATCAGAGGTTTGGCACCAGAAACTTGCATGGAAGTCCAGTTGTATAGCTGAGACTCCAGTTGCGACTCTAGTTGATACGTCATAGAGAATTGACCATTGCAGGGACTGCGGCTTGCGCAGGTGTAGATCAGTGTAGATTGTGTCCTGGTGGGCACGGTGATCTGGACGCAAAGAGTGACTTCCCTGGTTCTGCCAATCCAAGCACTTGCAAGGCCCAAAAATACAGGCAGCCTTCTGCTGTACTACAAAAGACAATTATCAACAGCCATGCAGTCCACAGCAAGTTGTACAATCAAAACAGGATGCATTGCAAACAGGCTTTAGGTCCTCAGTGGTCTGAGATGGTCTGATCCTTTGTTCACCAAAATGCATTTACCAGTGTGATCAGGTGTGGACTGATAGCAGTCACAACCTAGGGCAAAACAGGAGCTTCCTCCTACTACTGACTATAGGGAAAAGATGGACAAAGTGCATATGCCAAGTAGGGGTGGCTTCGCACTGCCCGCTCCATACAATCCAGAGGTTCCGTACGAGGAAAGTGTCCCTCGCACAGGTTGCTCCATTGGAAGACCAGGTCACGACATGAACTAATGTCAGTGTCAAGACTCACCTTATCGAAAAGTACAGTAAATAAGTGTGAGGCTAACATCGGCCTTGCCCATCAAGCAAAATTGGTGCAAGTCTGCTCGTTTTGTCTTAAGCAGGACTTTGCCCTGTTTGGACCATCAAACACTCCTACAGTACTCCTACATTGAATACATTCGCATTTCCCAAGCCGATGCGCCCAAGGGATCAGCACCCGGACTCCTGCGTTTGCAGGGCCGCCCAGAAAAACGACATTGCCGTCGCTTGACTTTCGGCATGCAACGCGTCACACTCTCAAAAAATGACGCAACTGTGCCCAGCCAATCACATCTGGTCACAGGGTGTCTATTTCACTGGCAAAACAATAACCTTTGACTGGAATAGCATAAGATCAGGTATCAAAAAACAGGCTTGTGCCTTCCTAGTGCGGAGATAAAGAGCAAACTGTCTCCACACTAGTGATGAGACCCTGCTTTGACCTCACAATTCAAATCGATACATGGTGAATTCAAAGCTTCAATCGCTCCGATGGCTTCATGCATGCTTCATCAGATATCTGTGACATCACAGATAAGTAGAGTGGGGTATCACCGAGCTTTGACCTAAGGCAATGCACCCTTCGTGGGACAAGAATGACAAGAACATACAAGAACAAACATGGGACATACTAAAATTTCATGAACCACTACTTTACAAAAAATATCTCTGCACTTCTTGATGCCGATACCATACCTTCATTGACTATCGAAACGGAGCAAGTTTCGAACTGCTTCTGTCCCAACTGTCCAATGACAAAAGCTTCGCCATCACAACAATTCTAAGCTCTTTGCCAGTTCCACTACCGGAGGGTCCATGACGTTTCCATCTGCACAAATGGCAGTGGTCACAAAGAGCTCCATCTTTGCATCCCTTGGACTTTGAATTGTACTTGCACGCAGGCCTCGGTGCTCCGCATGATAGACTGGACTAAAAACTGCCGAGATTTGATCAGGTTGTCAATTGGATTCCTGGTTGCTTTTGCAGGTGATTGTGGTGATTCCGGTGTGTAAGCCTCTTTGTGCAATCCTGTTCAGACCATTCACCCTCCATAAGCCTAGCACGCGCAAGACACAGGGTGTCCAAAGGAGCCCATAGATGGATACTCGAAGGACTCTGAAGACGGTCTTTGCATAGCCCCGGGAGGAACTGGTCCCGTGGAGATAGAATCAGATACCAACACAGCCAACACATGCCAAAAATGCAGATCACAGTTCGAAAAATTGTACGGTATTGTAGGATGTCCCAATTTTGACTCCTGATGGCAACAAAAAAAACATTGCCACAAGGCCTTGTCCAACTAGGCCACTAGGATGCCACTAGGCAGTCATTTGGCAATCATCTTCTAAACTTAGAAACTGTCTATGGCTCTGCATTGGAATTGAAGCTTGGCGAGCCACTGCTACTGAGAAGGGCGACTTGTGCCTCGGGTAAGGTGTCCAAGATAATCCAAGATACACATTGCTCAAATGCAACATCTCTCAGGATCCACAGTTGTCGATTGACCGTCTTGCCTGTGACATCCTGTGACTATGTTGTGACATCCTGTGACTATCAAATGGTTGAAGTTGAGGAAGCTGGCAGTGGTTCAAGATGTTCAAGTCCCTAAGATCCCTACACAGCAACACCAATGTAGTTTGGTTCCGGCTCCTGGAAGATGCAGGCATGACCTGGTAGCAGACTTTCCAATCGAAAACAACCAGGAAAGGGCAGCGAATGTGAAACCGGTGGATGAATGTGAATAATCTGCCAGGAGACAGTATTTGCAAGCAGCACCTTGGTTGCAGGTTTGAAGAATGGTAAAACTATATGAGCTGTGACCGACCTCTGTCATACAAATCGACGAAGTGCAAAAGTGACAGAGTCAAAGACCGTCTCTGCAACCGCTTCTCCGCCTATAGAATCTACACACCGGCCTGCCTTAGATGTAGAGCGCAATGAGTTCAATCGTACAACAAGAGTGGAACTGTGCAGCAGCAAAGCCCCAGCAAGCCAACTTATTTGCTGACCAAATACATTTCTTTGGATGACCACGGGTGCCCAATGAAGGCAATGGCATTTGCTCGTCTGCCACTTCAAAGAGTGGGTCGCTAACATTTCCGTCACCTTCATCAGCTTGCTTGATTCTATGCAGTCTGGGCACCCTCACCAATTTATCCAACTTAGTCCAATCTATACAATCTAGCTCTATATAATCCAATTCAAATATAATTTCAATAATATTCCAATCTACTCTGGAAATACAGCAAGTTATAGGACCAAGCCTGCAGGCTTGTCACGAGATGAAACCACCATGTCAGAGGGCAACACCTGCACAGGCTGTAACCCTTGACGTCTCCACAAATTCTCCGTAGGTGTCCATGTGGTGTCCATATATTACAGACCTGCAGTAACCTGCAGTAACCTGCAGTAACCTGCAGTCAAAATGCCAAGCCTCTCCGGGTTGAAGTGGAAAATTCGGATACAACGTCGCTGGATGGTCATCCCGCAATCGGTTTTGGGCTTGTCGCTCCTCCCCAGAGACACAACATCCACGCTGCACGTGCCCGTCAACAGCATAAACTTGTTCGAGATGCACGTGGTTGCAAGAAGCCAGGTATAGATGTTGCTGTACAGAATGTGTGCACCGAAAGCATCAAGCGAGACGCGTAATTATACATTTAGTACACATATATGACTCAGTGTATATATATATATATATACACTTTATAATATACACAAAATGTTAATGTATGCAATAGATGTATTTGTCTGCACTATTGAATATCAGAAGCTTTGGGTTTAAAAGTAGGGAACCCTTCTTTGGGCTCATTTGTTTCCCTCACCCATCAGCATATTCTGCAAGTTTTGAAGCAGGAACAATACGCAAGTCCTCCTGAACCAATCGTTGGAGTTTCGCTTCCAAATCTTTCTTCAAAAGGTCGGCATCAACAGTATTGTGCATTACCTAAGACAAGCGAGCAGGAAGTGTTGCCCATAAAATGGAAACTAAGATCTCACACTATTGCGTAGTGTTCGTGTTCGTGACCATTAGCATTAGTATTAATAAATGTCTTGATGTTTGCGCTAGTACTAGTGTTGGTCTTAGTGTAGTCACATGGGAGGCCAAATCGCAACACCTGTGCGATCAAGCCGCAAATCTGGCAATGAACTTCCGGCGCCGCCCTGAGCGGGGAGGCGCTCATCGATCAGAAGACCTTGGCGAAGCATGGCAAGTAGCAAGTAGCAACATGATATCGAAATATTGTAACAAATAAATGCAAAAAAATGAATCAAAATGAATCAAATAGTACCAAAATCCAAACGATTCTATCGCCAAAGATATCAAACATATGCCAAAACAAGTGCATCCTCATCCTCCGGATACAATGTTCATTAACTCCAGCCTGTCTTCTTTGCGTTGATTGAAAATACACAGAAGTTCACAGAAGCACAGATTTGAACGAATCGGCTGCTCTGGACCCAAGAGCTGTGAATCGAGCGTTGCCATGAAAATCACAGACATAGCATCTTTCTTGGTTTGAGCCACAACGCTTGATTGTGATCGAGGTGGCAAAACTGGTTCTCTAAAAGAAAAGGATCTGATGCCACAGCGTGTGAAGCTCACTTTGCAAATTTGCGAAGACTGACAAAATTGAGGAGTTAACAAACAGCAGGCGCATTTCGAAGCAGCGGCGTGGCACGGCGCCGGCTGCCATAAAACAGACAGCAGGGATGTTTCTCGGTTCGGAATGAAACTGAAAATTTTGCAAAACTGGACATGTCTTGCCCGTTTTTGCAAACTACAGGATGACCAATGACCTTCCAGGAGATCACCTTTAAGACGTTCAAACAGAACAACCGCTGAATCCGCGTTCACAGGGGCCAGTGCCTCGGCCAATGTATCGCAGCCAAAAATCGTACAATGATTCAATGATGTACATTGTTTATCAATGTTTAATCAAAGGAAGTTTAGGGGGAGAAACTTCCGTGTTACGGACTTTTAGAATGTCAGGGAAAGAGTTAGTCAAAGAAAGAGGTAGCAAAGAAAGAGTTCGTCAGGGAAAGAGTTAGTCAAAGAAAGAGGTAGCAAAGAAAGAGTTCGTCAGGGAAAGAGTTAGTCAAAGAAAGAGTTAGTCAAAGAAGAGTTAGTCAAAGAAAGAGTAGGGAAAGAGTTAGTCAAAGAAAGAGGTAGCAAAGAAAGAGTTAGTCAGGGAAAGAGTTAGTCAAAGAAAGAGGTAGCAAAGAAAGAGTTCGTCAGGGAAAGAGTTAGTCAAAGAAAGAGTTAGTCAAAGAAGAGTTAGTCAAAGAAAGAGTTAGTGCGGGAAAGAGTTAGTCAAAGAAAGAGTTAGTCAAAGAAACAGTTAGTAAGGGAAAGAGTTAGTCAAAGAAAGAGTTAGTGAGGGAAGGAGTTAGTCACAGAAAGAGTTAGCAAAGAAAGAGTTCGTCAGGGAAAGAGTTAGTTAAAGAAAGAGTTAGTCAAAGAAACAGTTAGTCAGGGAAAGAGTTAGTCAAAGAAAGAGTTAGTCAGGATATATGAGGTAGTCAAAGAAAGAGTTAGCCAAAGAAAGAGTTAGTCAGGATATATGAGGTAGTCAAAGAAAGAGTTAGCAAAGAAACAGTTAGTCAGGGAAAGAGTTAGTCAAAGAAAGAGTTAGTGAGGGAAAGAGTTAGTTAGGGAAAGAGTTAATCAGGGAAAGAGTTAGTCAAAGAAAGAGTTAGTGAGGGAAAGAGTTAATTGTAAATGACATCTTCAAGTTGGATTTTTGAAGGAAGTCTCACACGAAATGTGTTTTTGAGAGATAGCAGATGCACGAAACCCTATGTTTTTCCATACAAAGTCCGTCCCCGAACCTCGATGATCTACCTCTGCGGTGCGACGGGTGCGAGACGGTCTCGTGTGTGGTCGGATCATGGTCGGATATTCTCGGATCATGTTCGGATCGGTTCCGCATTGTAAATGGGGTTTCACCTGTGTTTCGTGCATTTGCGGTCGACAGAATTCCATTGTGATTTGTAACTGTAGGATCGTTTCCGCAATGTAAATGGGATTGCAAGTGGTGCTGGTGGATGAGTTGCCGATGGAATTCCATTGTGATTTGCAACTCTAGGATCGTTCCCTCACTGTAAATGGCATTGCAAGTGGTGCTGGTGGAAGAGTTGCCGATGGAGTTTTGGAGGAAGTCTCGCACGAAATGCGTTTTTGAGAGATAGCAGATGCACGAAAGCCTATGTTTTTCCATACAAAGTCCGTCCCCGAACCTCGATGATCTACCTCTGCGGTGCGACGGCTGCGAGACGGTCTCACGTGTGTGGTCGGATCATTCTCGGATCATTCTCGGATCATGCTCGGATCATTCTCGGATCGGTTCCGCATTGTAAATGGGGTGTCACCTGTGTTTCGTGCATTTGTGGTCGACAGAATTCCATTGTGATTTGCAACTGTAGGATCGTTCCCGCAATGTAAATGGGATTGCAAGTGGTGCTGGTGGATGAGTTGCCGATGGAATTCCATTGTGATTTGCAACTGTAGGATCCTTCCCGCAATGTAAATGGGATTGCAAGTGTTGCTGGTGGATGAGTTGCCGATGGAATTCCATTGTGATTTGCAACTGTAGGATCGTTCCCGCAATGTAAATGGGATTGCAAGTGGTGCTGGTGGATGAGTTTCTGATGGAATTCCATTGTGATTTGCAACTCTAGGATCGTTCCCTCACTGTAAATGGGATTGCAAGTGGTGCTGGTGGATGAGTTGCCGATGGAATTCCATTGTGCTTTGCAACTGTAGGATCGTTCCCGCAGTGTAAATGGCTGCGTCAAGGTTGCTTCGTGCTGTGGCTGCATTGGTAATACTATTGTCTTTTGCAGCCGGATCTCGTAAATCGTACTGGAGTGGCTGCATGAAGGCTGCCACAGTGATTTGTCAGCAGATTTTCTCCATTTTGGCGCTAGTGATTTTCCTTCTAAAATCCTTTTAAAAAGTGCTTCAAAATCGTCTTTTTTTCGCTCTGGCGTCGAGATCCGGTTTTGGAGCTACAATTTCCGACGCCGTTGCGCGTAGTTCTATTGTGTTTTGGAACTCAATCTCTGCAGATCGCATTGTAATGGCTGCGTCAAGGTTGCTTCGTGCTGTGGCTGCATTGGTAATACTATTGTCTTTTGCAGCTGGATCTCCTAAATCGTATTGGAGTGGCTGCATGAAGGCTGCGACATGGATTTGTTAGCAGATTTTCTCCATTTTGGCGCTAGTGATTTTCCTTTTAAAAATCATTTTAAAAAGTGCTTCAAAATCGTCTTTTTTCGCTCTGGCGTCGAGATCCGGTTTTGGAGCTACAATTTCCGACGCCGTTGCGCGTAGTTCTATTGTGCTTTGCAACTCAGTCTCTGCAGATCGCATTGTAATGGTTGCGTCAAGGTTGCTTCGTGCTGTGGCTGCATTCGTAATACTATTGTCTTTTGCAGCTGGATCTCGGAAATCGTCTTGGAGTGGCTGCATGAAGGCTGCGAAATGGGTTTGTTAGCAGATTTTCTCCATTTTGGCACTAGTGTTTTTTGTTGGACGTACGTTTAGAGCAGTGTGAAGTGTGGGGCGTGAAGAGTGCAGTGTGAAGTGTGAAGTGTGAAGGAAGCAGTGGGAAGTGAGAAGTGTGAAGTGTGGAGTGTGAAGTTTCAGTTTGGAGTGCGAAGAGCGCAGTGTGAAGTGTGAAGTGTGAAGTGTGAGGTTTGGAGTGTGAAGTTTGGAGTGGGAAGGAAGCAGTGAGAAGTGAGAAGTGTGAAGTGTGGACTGTGAAGTGTGGAGTGTGAAGTGCGAAGTGAGAAGTGTGAAGTGTGGAGTGTGAAGGAAGCAGTGAGAAGTGAGAAGTGTGAAGTGAGAAGTGTGAAGTGTGGACTGTGAAGTGTGGAGTGTGAAGTGCGAAGTGAGAAGTGTGAAGTGTGAAGTTTGGAGTGTGAAGGAAGCAGTGAGAAGTGAGAAGTGTGAAATGTGGAGTGTGAAGTGTGAAGGGTGAAGTGCGAAGTGAGAAGTGTGGACTGTGAAGTGTGAAGTGTGAAGTGTGGACTGTGAAGTGTGAAGTGTGAAGTGTGAAGTGTGGACTGTGAAGTGTGGACTGTGCAGTGTGAAGTGTGAAGTGTGAAGTGTGAGGTTTGGAGTGTGAAGGAAGCAGTGAGAAGTGAGAAGTGTGGAGTGTGAAGTGTGGAGTGTGAAGTTTGAAGTTTGGAGTGCGAAGAGTGCACTGTGCAGTGTGAGGTGTGGAGTGTCGAGGGAAGGACACGGTCGGGACAGGTTGTCTTTGAACTATAGGTCATTTATGTTTGGGAAACTTCCGCCGCCGGCTTGCCCGGGTCTATGTTATGCAGACTTTGTGGAAGTTCGATACTTAGATCTGCTCGGACTCTTAGTCTCATCAGACAAACCAGTATCCCTTAGATGTACATAATTGGATACCATAACGATGTGGATCCAGAACCAACCTGACCTGAATCCGACCTCCCTGCATTTCTTGGCACACATCTCTCACAAACGCCTCTTGACTGTCTTTAGAAATATTCAAAAAGTAGTGCCTATTTTGGAGTCAACGGATGCTCAAAGAGCAGACCAAAAAGACCAAAACAAAAAACGGCCATCGCGTTGCAATCTCGAACCAACAAACGGTGCTGTCGCGTTGCGTCGCTTCGTCGCTTAGCATGTCCAAGATCGTGTTTCCCGCCAGGTGTCGAAAGCCACCTCACAGCGCAAACCTGTCGGGTGAAACCGAGAGATGCAAACGTCATTTTCTTTGTTTGCGTGTGTGTGTGTAGATTCATGTAAGCTCATTCACCGATCTATCTACCTGTCATTACCTATGTGTTTGTCTGTTTGTCTATCTGTTTATCTATTTATCTGTTTATCCATCTATCTATCTATCTATCTATCTATCTATCTATCTATCTATCTATCTATCTATCTATCTATCTCTCTGTCTGTCTGTCTACCTACCTATCTGTCCATCTATCCGTCTATTCGTCTATCCGTCTATCCCTCTATCCCTCTATCCGTCTATATATTCGTCTATCCGTCTATCCGTCTATCTGTCTATCCGTCTATCCGTCTATGCATCTATGCATCTATCCATCTATCTATCCATCGAGTATATTATGTGATAGCCACTACTGCAGTTTCTAGATAGCCAACGCTGTCACAGAAGTTTGCTTGTCTGAAGGCACTATCCGTGTTCTTGGTCGGTTGCAGCTTGCCGGGTCATGCATTGACAATATGCATGATGCAAGAGAAACTGCCTGCTGTCCGAAGCTGGAAAAGCGTTGCCAAGCATGCCAAGCATGGAGCGTAGGACATGTACATCCGCACCTCGAGTATAGCCCGTTGTCGGCAAATTGCAAACATGACCTCATGTGAACCCAGCTGAGCACGGGACACTCCCATGGGTGCCTGCGACCTCATGAATACATATGAATGCATGGAATCTAACGAATCCGCACAATTCTACCTGGCTATCTATGTCAGAGACACATCAGAGTTGTCACTCGTCTCACCCTCAAAATGTCGCTGAACTCATCACGACTCATCACGACTCATCACGACCTTGCCTTCATGATGTCACGAAGTAGCTGCCTGTATTGCAATGTGCATAATCTGTGCTGCATCCGAGGACTGACCACGCAAACAGTCTTCAGCAATGACAATGCAGTGTGGCCATACAATGGCAACACTGTGTGATGTGGCAAATGCTCATCAAAAGTCTGAGGAACGGACCTGTGCTCTTGCGGGAAGCGCGTGAACGCTTTGTCCTGAAACAAGCAGGATGCTTTCAAAGCTCTTTTTGGGGTGAAGTGCTCTTTGAATTATTTGAAGGAAAACAAGGGCACGTACTGATGAATGCTGTACTTGGTCATACAATATCCTTCCCCGATGCTTTAAAGCTTTCCCAGCGGAACTGTCCAGGGCATGGGGTGCGAGCCATTCTTTGCAGCCAGCATCAGCCCCCAAGACCTCATCCAAGGAAAAACGCAGCGGGGAAGTGCAACTGATGAAAAGACCTTTGGTACGCCCTTCTAGGGAATCAGTGGCTAAGTCGCTGTCCACTGTTCCTCGATTCTCATGACCTTGAAACTGCTAGCAAGTCAAGCATCGTCAGGCATTTTCAAGCATCCTCACCCACCCCACAGACCTTCAGCACATTTCTTTGAAGGCCTGCTGAGTAGCATGCTGGAATGCTGAAGAAATGCACGGACAAGCTAAGACAATGGAGAACTTACGACGACTGCACGGAATCAACTTTTTCAAGCCGCCTGAAAGAGATCCATCGAGCCCTAAGTCCTCTTGCAGGGTTATCAAGTCCGTCACCTGCCAAAGATGCAACTGCCAGCTCCCTTAGCTCAAAGCAGCAAACGCAACCAGAATTGCAGAGATCAGAAAGCAGTTTGGATAGGACAGTGATGTCAGTCTTGTCATCTTGCCCGTCATGTTCATCATGTTCATCGTGTTTGCGATGTTCATCGTGTTGCTGTTGGCCATTCCAACCTGCTTCTTCTTTGGCAGGAAGTTCCCTTCTCGCTCGCAGGCGGCCAGTAGTTAGCCACGTTTCAGAAGCTGCTAGCTCCCTGAGTATCCATTGCGCTCATGAACCCACTACCATATTTACCATGGAATATCATGGGACAGTAAACCCACTGGCTCATGGTGTCGCTCACGCTGCCGCTCACGGTGCCAATATGTGGCAGTGAACCCAGGGCCATGGCAAGCTTTGTAGAGCTTGCTTTGTGAAATCGCTGCTGAGCATTACCTGGGCAGCTGCACGGATCATCAAGGATCATCAAAGATCATCAAGGATCATCATCAAATCATCAATCAAGGTCAGTCTGTCAGTCCAAATAAAACATAATAATAATAACGCTACACAACTTTACATAAGGTTCCTCGATTCCCCCTGTCTCTTCCTGCTTGTTCCTAGACTCAACCAAAGCCTAAGCTCGCCACATTCTGCAGTTGAGGACCCTTCAGGATCGGCTGTCGTAGTCTGACCGCGCTTCCACAGAACATGAAATCTGAATCTGGTGAACATGAAGTGCATTCCATTTGAATCTACTTTCAAGAGATGTTTGAGCATGCCAAGACGTGCGAATCCATACAAATGTTAGTGTTCGGTCCAGGAGGAGTTGAAAGGAGCCTCGGTATGTGTCGATTTTGCTTTGGGCGTGAGGAAAAAATGAAATCCTCATGTGAAATGGCGGCATATCAATTTTCCGATTCCTGCCTGGTATGCGTTCGCCCAGTAGAAGCTCTGTGCAGAACGGTTGTGTCTGTATCGGCAATGACTGCCTGGGTTTTTTTTTCTCCATGAGTACTTGGGGGTATTCAGTACTCATAGGAAATCATTGGAAATCCTCGAGTCCGTGGCTCGATTCAATCTTGGATCGGATTTTGAGAGATACATTTACTGCTCTTGGTTGTTCCTTAAATCGAGCCCGAATTTGTTCCGCAGCAGCACTTGAATACCGCGAAGCAGGTCGGAAGCACCGCCAGCACAAAATCAAACACACCGTGGGCAAACTTGTTCTTGAGCTCGGCGGCAGAGATTCCTCAACCACGGGCAATATTCGAGCAATAGTGCATTAAAAGGCATTCTTCTATGAGGAACACATGGTACAATGTACAAGGATGCACAAGCTGTTTATTGTGATATATGATACGATACAATATCTTATAATGTGACATCATATGATGGATGCTCTCGTTTGGATCGTACAATTCTGATACTGGACGGCTTCTTGGAAATCGTCTCAAAACCCTGCAAAAACGCAAATCCGGGTTTTTGAAGGAACTCATATGATATGAGAATGTGATATGTTTATACGATATGGTATGATATACACAGCATGGCTCACGAAAAATGCTGGCCATCAAAAACGATAAGGTTTGCATCCATTGTTCTGCAGCTCAGGTTGAAAAGAGATTCCACTTAGGCTTCGGCCATGCCAGGAAAGCAAGTCCAGCGTCATCGCCTAAAATGCTTTTGCATAGATGATGGTAGGACATGACAGGACAGATCAGCACAGTCTGTCTGCTGACACAAGCCGCCAAGGCCAGGACAACTTGACCTAAAGCATCTTGTTGCCATCCAGAACCGTGTCCAGTATACCACCTTCAAACAGATTGTGCAATCTCCTCGTGTCTTGTTCGAATGTCTTTGAGTTGCAAGCTCAGCTGTGTGGGAAACCAATGTAAGAGAGCTAATTAAGGTAGTGAAGCTCAAACTCGCTCGAAGGCTCTAAGACCGGTTCCCGCGAGCCAGTGCCAATTCAGCACTCAAAGCTGCTTCTTTGGCCCCCTGAACATGCAGCATATTCAAGAGAAAAACCAAGCGCTTTCAGAGTCCTGGACATACTGCAACAACTGAGCCAGGAAAGAAACACGTTGGATACTAAGTGCAACATAGTGCAACGAGCTATCGCAAAGTCCATCACACGCAATTTCTCCAGTTGCATTTCCAATCTCAAACTTCTGGAAGGTTGAGAAGCCTGATTCGCTCTAATGACTCTAATGACTAGCAGATATTGCCAACGAGCGATCTTGTCCGCTACAAAGATGGCATTTTGTCCATTCTAAACGGTTCAGATCTGTAAAGACTTTGGTTTCCAAAGTGGCAAATGCTGCTGGATGTGCTGAACTGCCCACATTTGGACACCAGCCTGTTCTCAAAAGATGTTTCTTTTGCAGCAAAAGCTGAGAATGGAATAGGGAGGAACCTCACTTCCGAGAGTTCCAGTCCCTTGGCAGCTTTCAAGCTTTCAGGAGCTGCCAGTCGTCTCACGCTCATAAATCCAGAAGGCAACCTTGTTGCTTGCTGAGGTAGTCTCAATGCGGAAGTGATCCTTTGGAGTCGGAGATGATGAAGTATGTGTTAGGACACGAGCAGCAAACAAGCAGAACATATCAGAACATTGTCTAAACTGCTTCAGCTTGAACCGCTACAAAAAGTTTGCGGTCATTTTATCAGCATGGAGTAAACTTCATATGCTCCATTTGATGTGAACCTGGTGAAACAATGGAGCTTCGCAAGTGACCATGGCCCCAGTCCTTATCCAGAAAGAATTGGCAGGTGCTCGTCCATTTACTTGGCTCTGCTTTTTCTAAATCGCTTGCCCGCCAATGAAGGACATGGGGGATCTGCGGATCCCAGTATGAGGTCTGAAGAACATCAAAGTCGCCACAATTCACCTTAGATCTTAGATCTTAGATTTGAAACAAAAACAGCAGTGCGGCAGTGCGAATGACTCTCCAAAGATGTGTGACGCACCATCCCTTCAGTCGACTTCATTAGCTCAAGATTTTGTGCTGGGGCACTCTTTGCTCTTGTCCGTTCACGTCAAATTCTTGCACTATCTCGTGAAATGCTCTTTCTGTCACCTTCACCTCAGAGATGAGTGTGACAAGTGCACCTTACATGCAAACACAATAGACCGGGCGGAGCCACTGCAAAATTGTCTTGAAAGCGTCCGAATGCACTGAAATAATCTGAAATATCTTGGACACTGATCAGCTTATCCTGGGATTGACGCATGGTTGCCATTCTGCTCATACTTTCGGACCACAGCACCCCTTCCCCAGCCAAAAGCTGCCATCCCCTGTCGCACAACGAAGCCTGACAATGCTGCCAGCATGTCAAATACAGTTTCGAAATTCAGCAGGGTGTCTCGTATGCACAGCAAAAGAACATCCCTCAGCACGAGCCGCGAGCCGATCATTTCCATCAAGGAATTTGGACACTGCATCAAGAGGTTTTGGGACCCCGCTACCTGCATTGTATGAAATGTTTGAATATCAAGACCCACTACACTTGACCTGGCCTATGCCCATGTCTGCAAAAACGCCGTGCAAATCGCCACCAGCTGATGCACACTTCCAGCTGCCAGTGAAGTCAACGTGTCCATTTTCATCCACATATTCTTCTGGGGGTCGCGGCACAAACCTCAGCGCCGAAGCCAAGGAGTCTGCTTCCTGAGTCTTGCTGAGTATACTTTAGCATGTCTCTCTACCATGTTTTTGGGTTATCTCTTTAGGCACTGTTTTGTAATTTTTGTCCCTCTTTTCTGGGATTTTTTGTCCCTCTTTCTGGGGAATTTTTGTCCCTAAGTTTGGGTAATTATTGTCCCTAGGTTTGGTAATTATTGTGGGGAATTATTGTCCCTAAGTTTGGGTAATAAAATAATTGTCCCCAAGTTTGGGTAATAATTGTCCCCAAGTTTGGGTAATTATTGTCCCTAAGTTTGGGTAATTATGTTCCCTAAGTTTGGCCTAAGTTTGGTAATTTTTGTCCCTAACTCTTGGTGAATTTTTGTCCCTAACTTTTGTGGAATTGTTGTCCCTCTTTCTGGGGAATTTGTGTCCCTCTTTCTGGTGAATTCTTGTCCCTAACTTTTGGGGAATTTTTGTCCCTAACTTTTGGCAATAATTACCAAACTTGGGGGACAATAATTACCAAACCTAGGGACAATAATTACCCAAACTTAGGGACAAAATAGCTCTAAAGAAAACGTGGTAGAGCGCCATGCTAAAGTATACTTGTGCTTTACCTAAAGCCAGATCACAGTTGAAAGAAAGCAAGCAACCCAATGATGCGATGTTTCGGGGTGGCTGCCTCTCGGCACTCCTGGACTGACTTGTCTTCCTGTGTCTGTCTTCTTCCTCTCACCCAAGAGAAAATGCCAGCTCCACCTCAGCAGGTTCTGAATGCTCTCGCAGGCAGCACTCAGTTGCATTTCCCAAAGCTCGTTGATAAAGGTGATCTTGTGAGGGTTCAGTGAAAAAGATGGAAACGGAAAAGGCGCTGAATCCCAGCCAAAGCTGCAGCAGCAACTGCCTTGGTTTGCACATACACAAACGCCAGACGGCTTCCATAAGTGCAAATCATATTTTCTACCAAGAATCTTGAAGATGCAGCTTGTGAAGCTTGGCGAGGCTTCTGCGGAGAGAGTGCCGGGAACAAATCAGAATGACTCAGCATGACTCGGCATGACTTCAAGGCTGTGCAGCTGTGAAAGTCACAACTTTAGGGTAAACTTCATTGGGTCCTTCTCTGAGACTGGCGGAAGAATCTCTGCAGGAGAGTCCTGTTTTTGTTCCGGGCACTGTAGAAGCTACATCTAATTGTGTTAAGTGGATTTTAGCGCTGCGACACTTTGGATCACTTTGGTGCTTTTGTACCGTTCAAGGTTTGCGCCACAAAACAAGTCTCTCCTTTCCACCGGTCACTGTGGGCAAAGGGCAGCAGCAGCACGCAAGAAAGGCAGCTCCAAGAACAAGAAGACCTCCATTCATCACGCGATCCCAAGAGCCCCGTGCTGCAAAAGCAAAGAACATTATGATCTAACCCTCCTCTCAGATTCCCGGGCATTCTTCAATCTCCAAACTCACAAAGCTCACCAACAGCATTGTCTATCACCTAGTCAAAGTGCTTATACAATCTTATACATACCAAAAAGGCTTGGTCGAGATGACTTTCTGCCTCCCAAACTGCTGGAAATGTGGCCGCTGCTGGCAAGCCCACTTGCTAACTGCACAAAAACCTGAACAAGGTGACGGTGAAGGCAAGCGTGATTCTCTTTTGGATCTGTTTGTTTTAATCATGTTTAAGCCAGATTCAAAATGATTATATATAGAATGATTCAGACATATTCAAACAATTTCAAACAAGTATGTGCAAGCTTTGCACCTCTTCGGTAGGGCCTTTCGTCGCTGTCCTCGTGTGTGTGTGGAGAGATGGGGAGCATGTCGTGAACGTTGCGGCTGTGGAGCTTGCAAGACAGAAACTGTCGCAAGCTTTCAAACACCAAGTCTCTGTTGAACCAATTGCGGTGGACCAATCTGGAGCAGGGAGATGACAGCTTCAACCTGATCAACCTGTCATCCAGGTCACTTCTTGAGTCTTGCACACCATGTTTCTTCAGTTCTTACAGCAATCGGATTTCTTCTCATCTACCCTTGCATTGACAAGGAGCCTCTCCATCTTCTATGCATTTGGAACTTGCAAAAGAGGCCTGACTCACATCATGCTACTGCTGTCTCAAGGAACAATCAACAACATCTCAAGTCAAGAATAGTCAGCTGGAAGAAGCACACTAGACAGAAGGTCAACAAAATTAGTGCACATGTTCAGAATGAACATGTGTGGCCTGCGTTCCTGCGCACAGGAGTGTGCACGAAAGTAATATAGGGAGCATCAGCCCGCATTGATCGGACTGCGTCGAAACAGTTCGTTATCGAATCTTCTTTGGTTTGTGAACCGAAATTGCCACCAAAGATCCTCAAAAAGCATGTGTGCGATGCAAGTGCACAAAGCAGGATGGCTGGTCATATGCAAACACATCACACTGCTAGCAACTTTCTCAAGCAAAAATGAAGGCCTGCACCCAGCTAGCTGGGCCCAGCCTAGGGGTCATATCACAGCCCAATCTCCGACCCTTCAAACCATACCCAGCTACAGAATGCTACAGACCCATAAAAAAAAGATCTGCAAAGATTGCGATTCGCTGCGTCAAAGAAAAACTCCAAGGGGAGGCACTCTTCGCAAAGATCTTTGAACTCGCTCCAATCCAAGTCCTTCGGGCACTGCGAAGGAACTCTTCACTGAGATCTCATGAGACCTTACAGGAGACCACTTTAGCAGCTTTAGCACGTGGCCTCACAGGCGGCGAGCATTGCATTGGTGGATGAAACACCGGAGTCCAAGTAGTCCTGAACTGCTGGCAGGGACAAATTTCCAAAACTCCACCATGGCACACCACAGCAACTAACGTCCAAGTTAGTCCAAGTTCCAAATGACAAGAAGCAACACTGGCTCTCCTTCCAGAAGGCAATGGCTCTTGGTGCATTTCCGAACTTCAGGCATTTCAGGAGAACCAGGTTGTACAACTGGCAAAATGAATCATGTGCAGCACGCTCCTCGCACTTCAATTCCCACACCCAACGAAAAAGTACGGAAAGTACATATACATAATATGCAACTTGCATCAAGTTGCACACAATTCGTCATGATTCTCACATACTCTCGCATAATTTTCAAGCTTTGTTTGCAGGCTCCTTTGGCCTCTTGTCAGGCTGCCGCTTGTGGGCAATCCGCAAAGCTCCTATCTGCTTTGGACAGGCAGCGGCTTCTTTCAATGGAGGGCTCTGTAGTTCAGCCTGCACTCAAAGGATCGAAAGGATCGAAAGGATCGACTTCTGTCTCTGTAGGCTCGGCTGTCACGCCTTGGAGCCCGTGGACCAGGTTTGGGAACACCTGCGCCATCTGTGCCAGTTTCACAATGGCAAGATTCGGCGGCTCTATGGCCGCCCCGATTTGAAACTGTCAATGATCTATAATGATCTTGCATCAGACAAAAGCCCTAAGCACGTCTAAGCACTACCAGATCCTTCGGAAAACAATTGACTTGACAAATTGAGCCGGCTAGAGCCGGCTTCCATTTGGGGCCCAACTTCTGAGTCGGTGTGGAAGATCTTTGTCAACGACAGGTCGAGGTGGTTTTGCTTGTGCCTTGACATGATCAATGCAAGGTGAGGTTCTCATGAGTTTCAAAGAACACTCAGATGCTCCTCATAATTCCAGGGACGTCGGTCGTAAGTCTGGCGGCAAACTGGGCCTCAAAGATTGGGTGATGTTGGTGGGTGGTTAACAAGTGTCATCCATTCTGGTTGCGCTCGATTCCGCTCGCTACGTACAGTTGCTAAAGTTTTGGCATGTTTTTCAACCGGTTTCCATAGTACTTTCATAGTCTCCTGGTACGTCACCTTCATCACTGTGTGAAGCCATCAGTGGTGCATCGAGCGCTCCCAACATGGCATCAGTATGGCAGCCGCGTCTCCACCGAAATCACTGAGAATCCAACACAAATGTACCTGGCAGAGCACATCGAAGCACTTCTCATCTGTATGTAACAGGCCTCGATACTATACCTATATGTGTGTATCATATTATATATTATATATTTATACTGTATACGGTATACGCTGTATCACATCCGTGTATGATTTTGACAGCTCTGCCTCAAAGACATGGAAGGACTCGAAAGACATAATGCAGCAGCGATGAAAGACCTGGACAGAAAACGACGCGCCAAACAGCCGTCAACCCTTGAAATCAAGAGACCCCAGAGTCACCTATACCGTGAAGTGGAAGGTTTCTGCACTAAAAATCCTGATTGTTAGACGTGGACAAAACAAATTTGCAGCAACCAAATGTTCAAAGAATCGGACATGCATCAAAAACATGGACGCTTATCATCAGATTGTTCTCTCCAAAACTGACATTTCTTGCATCAAAGGTTCAACGTTTTTTGTCCTTCAATTTCGGGTTCCTCACTCGCAATTTTTCTGCAACGCCTCCAAACCAAGTTGAGACCCTCACGTGCGAACACGATAGCAGTTCCACCCGATCACCTCGTCTGGCGGTCAGTCCAGTTTGGATGGGGCTCTGTGTCAATTGAAGCAATGTGTCATGGCAGTGATGTGCTGTGACTGTTCAAGACATGGTTCCTTTTCTGAGTTCAAAGCTTTGTCGGTCTGCCAAGTGGCAGGGTTGAAAGCAAATTGGACAGTCGACTTCTTCTCCCCGACCTAGCTGATTCAAGCATTTTGAAGTTTTCCAACACAAAATCATACAAAGTGTCTAAACTCCATATCAATGTAATCCATATATGAATATATATATATATATGATATGTACACTAGATAGGAAGGGGAGGGAGAAAGAGAGAGAGAGAGAGACAGGAAGCGCAAAGGAAATAATCATAATGTGATTGTGGTATTTTGATAATAAAACCTGAAAAATGGGACGAACATTTACCTATGTATTGGAATAAATATGCCGAAAAGGTGCTACATGCGAAAAGGAAAGACTGCAAATCATCAATCATTGACATTGAAGCAGGAAAGGAGTAAAAGATAATAAAATATACAGGAGCTGCTGGAAATGTCTGGAAGAGAATGTACCTTGTATACAAACGATACATTCAAAATTATAATGAACGTGTTAAGGTAAATCGGTTTACAATGTTTCCAAAAATGGGATGGATGGCATGAGATGTGTAGAAATTGATAAAATGGTAGGCGGGACTGAAACATACAGGATAAGCATGGCTTATTCTAACTATACGTAGTTACAAACACATACACATTCAATTCTGCGTTATGCGCAGCCAAAGCAATGCCCATTTGATCTGAGGCGCTTCGTGCAGCTTTTCGAGCTGTTGACCATGACCATTTCGGACCTTGGTTGACTCTGCTGGCTGCGCAGTGCCTGATTTCGAGTTTGTTGAGTTCGTTGAGCTCTGATTGTGGAAATCACTCATCCCCAAGGTTGTGGAGCCAGGGAAAAGCATACATCTTCGGCAAAGAGTTGTGGAATAACTTGGCACTTTTTGTTTGCTCCTTGTACAGCCCGTAAATGTGTTGATATGCAGTAGTTGCTGTTGTTGCCTAGCCACTTCAATGTCTTTCCCATCGACGGTTCCAAGCCTACCCTTCACATCATGCAAATACCAGTGTTCTAAATTGAACGGGCAATAGTTTCTTTTGTTTGGTGTGTCCCTTGGTCTCCCATTTAATGCCTTCTTCAGCTTGAGCGCAATCTTTCGACATTGCCTGCACTTAGATTCAATCTCCGATTCAGACTGTGACAAAGTGACCTTCTCTACCGAAACCCCTGCACCGATTTCGAATCTGCCTCTTGGTTCGAAGAAGCAGCTGGAAGAGGCGCCACCATGCCTGCATTTCTGTGCATACGATGATTGCCTTTGATCTTTTGCTTAGCAAATCCAATCGCTACAGCGTGATTAGAGCCTGAGTGGAGTTGCTCAAAGCCACACAGACCCTCACCTGACCAGAATACAATGTTTGAATACTGAATACAAACAAGGAAGCTGCTAGCAACACTGATCAAAAAGACCAAAGACCAAAGCAACGTGGCAGAACAAGTTCCGCAGTTCCGCCACTGCACAAGTTCTTGCACTTGGTCCTTTACGAATCAGGGCAGAACTCTGTGCCACGCTTCCATCCAACTCCTCAACCAGTGAGATCCAGCTGGATTTCAGGAGGGAAGGACGAAGGGAAGGCAACAGCTTTTGTCTCCTGGAGGAACCTTTCCAAGGCATCTTCATGGTCCTCACAGCGACAAGGACAATGCAAATGTATGCAAATGTCTACATCTGGTCTACATGTGGCCACAACCGTACGAAGACTTCACTGTGGCAAATCGTCCATTTACACGCATTTAAATTCATCATGCATCTATCACCGCACACAGCCAGACTGGCCTCGCAGGCTTTCTCCAACTTGCCACCAAGGGCCTTCAGGCTTCGCATGCTTCGCTTGAAGGCAAGTCATGGCAAGTCAAAGTCGTTCCATCAGGCGGGTTCCATCCCGGAATGGCCTGAAGCGCTTTGCCACAACAGCGCCGATGCCTTACCCGAAAGCAAAGTGGAACAAGAATCGGCCCTAGTCAAAACATATATATATATAATATATATAATATATAATTATATATATAATTATATATATATATATATCAAAATGCAATGCGGCATCCAATCGTATTGTCACATACAAATTCTATGCGGTCAATGTTCAAAGTTCATGGGCTGACCCTGCAAGCTTCAGACACCTAGGACTTTATCAGATCACCAAAGGCAAAGGCAATGCAGGAGCTTCTTTGCGAATGTTGGGATCTCGTAGCTCGTTGAAAAGCCTTGGACAACTTGAAACATTTGAAACGCACTTCAATGTCGTTTGAAACCTTGGCCTACACTAACATATCTAACGTAGAGAAAACAAGTGGGGGGTGAAGTCTGAGTTCTGACTGCCTTGGTGTCGGGCTCCTTTCGGCTGGTATAGCCACGCCATGCTCGCTGGATACGGCTAGCGCATTTCTTCCGCCAAACCTTGTGCTACAACTGTGCACACATTTCCGCCACAAATTCAACAATTTGCCAAGACAGTGGAAACTGCACTCAAGGTCTGGAACAAAATTCTGTGAAAGAATGAGCAGTTAGCAAATCATATGAGCTTCGAGCCATGAGTCCTGAATGATGAATGGTCGCATCAAAGTAGGGACATCGACCTCCGTTTGAAAGTTTGTCATTAAGTCATTACTGACTACACGGCATGGTCTCACCTGCGTCTATACAAAATTCTGTTGATTTTACGATATAACGTGCTCATTGACTTTTAAACCAAGGTCCCCACAAAGAGGGCAATGTCTTTTTCCTGCAAACCTCTCAAAGCTGCGCAAGCACCTCATGTCTTGAACTAAGTTTGGCACAATGGAAGCTGAGTCCTCCTCAAGCCCTGCAATCTAGATCTAAGACCACCACTCACCATGAAAAACGTGGCTGCAGCCTGGAAGCATTGAAATGTTGAAGAATTGCTGGCTGTGGCTGCTCACTATCTGAGGGCGCGACTGAGTATCACCTGGGGTCGCGTTCGAAAGTCCTCCAGACCTTGCTGACTTTGCATCTGAATCAACAGACGAGGCAACAAGTCACTCGCAAGCAACTTCCGAGAGTCGTGCAAATACTGCATGGCACTTCGCTATCTTGCCGAGAATCAGATGCATGTTTGACATGCTCCCATTGCCTCAGCCAGCAACCGTTGGAAACCCTTGTAGCAAGTGGGCAAACCCTGAAAGGCTCGGACACGCTCGTCAGAGGTTGTGCTGGTTCAGCCACAAGACCCATCCGCTGCGCAAGGGACAAGGAGGCCTCCAAGCATGGTGGCTTTGTAAAGATCTAACAGCGTTCTTGATCGATAAAGATTGTGAAATGTGCCTGATGTCTTCGAAGCTTTTCATCGTAGTCAAGTTCTGCATGTCCTTAAAACGAATCAGGTGACCCGCTATGAGCGTGGGGGAGTCGTTGTTCATAGCTGAGCAAACCACGGAATCCGGCGGATGGAGCACTCCTGCACTCACGCTTTGTTCAAAAATGCATCTCTAAAGGTCCAAAGTCCAAAGGCACTTGAATATACTTAAATTATCTTAAATTGCATTATCTGGCTGTCCTGCAAGGCTCCGCAGCCTGCGATCGCAATCCCCTTTCCTTCAGTTGAATTGCGAGGGTTGCAAGTGTATTTTGAGGTGGTTTTTGCCAAAATTCAAAAAGCTCGGCAAGGGACAAGGTATATGTGTCCACGACCAGGCCTGTGTATGGGATGACGCGCTGCGTGTGCGAACGGGTCGTGGTGGCTTACCAAGCAAATGTGCCTGAAGCAGCTCGGGCATTGTTGGGAAACGCGCGTTGCAGAGCAACTCTGAAACTCACGTGGCACAAGAGCAACTTCACCCTTCACGGAAACATTTGAGACCAACGACTCACTGCCTTCATAACGTGCCCCAAAATTCAAGCATCATCCAACATATCTATATCCGCCGACCCCGGCTGGCAGCAAGGGGGAGCGCGCTAGGGAAGAAGAGTTTACTACTACTACTAGTACCACTATTACCAGCACCCCCACCACCACTACCACTACTACTCCTACTCGGAGGGAGTGTTTGGGCGCAATTTTGATGTTTTTTCGTCTTGTCCTGACATGGTGTTTTCCTATCCGGGCGCTGCCGTTTGAACAGAAGGAGTAGCAGGAGCACGAGCAGCAGCAGCAGCAGCAGCAACAGCAGCAGCAGCAGGACGAAATCGCGGCTGGTTTCGCGTCTGTTTCAAGAGCAGCAGTGAGTCTAGCAGCAACAGTAGCAGTAGCAGTAAGCTTGCAGCAGCAGTAGCAGCAGCAGCAGCAAAAAGAAAAAGTAACTCAAATGATTTCCTGCCTATGTCGTCCGTCAGAGTCATGATGTTGCAGCAGCAGCAGCAAAAAGAAAAAGTAGCTCAAATGATTTCCTGCCTATGTCGTCCGTCAGAGTCATGCTGTTTTCCCCGTCGGGCAACAACAACGACAACAACAGCAGCAGGACGAAATCGCGGCTGGTTTCGCGTCTGTTTCAAGAGCAGCAGTGAGTCTAGCAGCAACAGTAGCAGTAGCAGTAAGCTTGCAGCAGCAGTAGCAGCAGCAGCAAAAAGAAAAAGTAGCTCAAATGATTTCCTGCCTATGTCGTCCGTCAGAGTCATGATGTTTTCCCCGTCGGGCAACAACAACGACAACAACAACAACAACAACAACAACAACAACAACAACAACAGCAATAGCAACAGGAACAGCAAGAGCAAGAGCAACAGCAAGAGCAACAGCAAGAGCAACAGCAAGAGCAACAGCAACAGCAAGAGCAACAGCATTTGTGCAGTGGGAGCAACAGCAGTAGCAGTAACAGCAGCAGCAGCAGCCGCAGCAGCAGCAGCCGTAGCAGCAGCAGCCGCAGCAGCAGCCAACAACAACAACAACAACAACAACAAGAACAAAAAACAATGACCCTTTGCCGGGGGACCCTGTTGGGTCCCCCTCCCACCAGTCACGTACGTCGATTCATTGACTCCGGGGTTTTTGTTTTACCGGTGGGGGGTCCTTCCCGGAGTCTCCTCGAGGTACGTGGGGCTCCTTGGGTTGCCCTTCCCGCTCTGATCTGTTCCTTCGAAACAGCAGGATTTCAGAAGACACGTCTTTTTGTGTGGGTTGCAGAAGTTACATTAGGTAGTTTTGGGGCGCAATTTTGATACTTTTCCGCCTTTCACTGCCATGGTGCTGGCCCATCCGCCTTTTGAACAGAAGGGATCAAAGGAGCAGGAGCAGCAGCAGTAGCAGCAGCAGCAGCAGTAGCAGCAGCAGCAGCAGGAAACATTTTGATGCTTTTCCGTCCTTCACTGCCATGGTGTTTTCGTTTGGTGTTTTCCTGCCGGAAGGTGATTTTGTCGAAGGCAAGCCGCTGCAGGCAACAGAATCTCTCGAAAAATGTTGTTTTTCTAGGATTGCAGACGGGACGTTTGGCAGTTTTTTCGCATGGTTTTGGAACTAGCTCGTCCTGCAGAGCCATGGTGTTTTCCTGCCGGAAGGTGATTTTGTCGAAGCTGTTTGATTGCAAGCAGCCGCAGGCAACCGAATCTCTCGAAGAAGCTGTTCTACTGCCAGCAGTCTCCAAAAACGTTGTTTTTCTAGGATTTCAGACGACACGTTAGGGAGTTTTTTAACGTGGTTTTGGCACTCGCTCGTCCTTCAGAGCTATGGTGTTTTCATGCCGGCAGCTACTTTTTTTCGAAGCTGTTCTACTGCCTGCCGGCAGCTGCTTTTTTTCGAAGCTGTTCTACTGCCAGCAGTCTTGAAAAAGGTTGTTTTTCTAGGATTTCAGACGACACGTTAGGGAGTTTTTTCACATGGTTTTGGCACTCGCTCGTTCTTCAGAGCCATGGTGTTTTCCTGCCGGCAGCTGCTTTTTTTCGAAGTTGTTCTACTGTCAGCAGTACTGCCAGCAGCTGCAGGCAACAGAATCTCGTCAAAAAGGTTTCTTTTCTAGGATTTCAGCTTTTTTCGAAGCTGTTTTACTGCCAGTAGCTGCTTTTTTTCGAAGCTGTTCTACTGCCAGCAGTCTTGAAAAAGGTTGTTTTTCTAGGATTTCAGACGACACGTTAGGGAGTTTTTTCACATGGTTTTGGCACTCGCTCGTTCTTCAGAGCCATGGTGTTTTCCTGCCGGCAGCTGCTTTTTTTCGAAGTTGTTCTACTGTCAGCAGTACTGCCAGCAGCTGCAAGCAACAGAATCTCGTCAAAAAGGTTTCTTTTCTAGGATTTCAGCTTTTTTCGAAGCTGTTTTACTGCCAGTTGCGGCTGGCAACAGAATCTCTCGATCTCTCGAAAAACGCTGTTTTTCTAGGATTCTAGGATACTTTTTTTCGACGCTGTTCTGCTGCCTCTCGAAAAAGGTTATTTTTCTAGGATTTCACGCGGGACGTTTCCTGCCGGCAGCCGCTTTTTTTCGATTTCGATGCTGTTCTACTGTCAGCATTAGCAGTCTCGAAAAAGGCTGTTTTTCTAGGAGATTTCAGACGACACGTTAGGTACTGCCTGCCGGCAACTGCTTTTTTTCGAAGCTGTTCTACTGCCAGCAGTCTCGAAAAATGTTGTTTTTCTAGGATTTCAGACGACACGTTAGGGAGTTTTTAAACGTGGTTTTGGCACTCGCTCGTCCTTCAGAGCCATGGTGTTTTCCTGCCGGCAGCTACTTTTTTTCGAAGCTGTTCTGCTGCCTGCCGATGTTCTATTGTCAGCAGTCTTGAAAAAGGTTGTTTTTCTAGGATTTCAGACGACACGTTAGGGAGTTTTTTAACGTGATTTTGGCACTCGCTCGTCCTTCGGAGCCATGGTGTTTTCCTGCCGGCAGCTACTTTTTTTCGAAGCTGTTCTACTGCCTCAGACGACACGTTAGGGAGTTTTTAAACGTGATTTTGGCACTCGCTCGTCCTTCGGAGCCATGGTGTTTTCCTGCCGGCAGCTACTTTTTTTCGAAGCTGTTCTACTGCCTGCCGGTAGCTGGTTTTTTTCGAAGCTGTTCTGCTGCCAGCAGTCTCGAAAAAGGTTGTTTTTCTAGGAGATTTCAGACGACACGTTAGGGAGTTTTTTAACGTGGTTTTCGTACTCGCTCGTCCTTCAGAACCATGGCGTTTTCCTGCCGGCAGCTGCAGGCAACAGAATCTCTCGAAAAAGGTTGTTTTTCTAGGATTGCAGACGGGACGTTTGGCAATTTTTTCGCATGGTTTTGGAACTAGCTCGTCCTGCAGAGCCATGGTGTTTTCCTGCCGGAAGGTGATTTTGTCGAAGCTGTTTGATTGCAAGCAGCCGCAGGCAACCGAATCTCTCGAAGAAGCTGTTCTACTGCCAGCAGTCTTGAAAAACGTTGTTTTTCTAGGATTTCAGACGACACGTTAGGGAGTTTTTTCACGTGGTTTTGGCACTCGCTCGTTCTTCAGAGCTATGGTGTTTTCATGCCGGCAGCTACTTTTTTTCGAAGCTGTTCTACTGCCTGCCGGCAACTGCTTTTTTTTCGAAGCTGTTCTACTGCCAGCAGTCTTGAAAAAGGTTGTTTTTCTAGGATTTCAGACGACACGTTAGGGAGTTTTTTCACGTGGTTTTGGCACTCGCTCGTCCTTCAGAGCCATGGTGTTTTCCTGCCGGCAGCTCTCCTCTGCTCTACTGCTCTGCTCTGCTTTCTCTCTCTTCTTAGCTTCGGATCTTGCATGCTTATAAAATTACTTTTTTTCGAAGTTGTTCTACTGTTAGCAGTACTGCCAGCAGCTGCAGGCAACAGAATCTCGCCAAAAAGGTTTCTTTTCTAGAATTTCAGCTTTTTTCGAAGCTGTTTTCCTGCCAGTAGCTGCTTTTTTTCGAAGCTGTTCTACTGCCAGCAGTCTTGAAAAAGGTTGTTTTTCTACGATTTCAGACGACACGTTAGGGAGTTTTTTCACGTGGTTTTGGCACTCGCTCGTTCTTCAGAGCCATGGTGTTTTCCTGCCGGCAGCTGCTTTTTTTCGAAGTTGTTCTACTGTCAGCAGTACTGCCAGCAGCTGCAGGCAATAGAATCTCGTCAAAAAGGTTTCTTTTCTAGGATTTCAGCTTTTTTCGAAGCTGTTTTACTGCCAGTTGCGGCTGGCAACAGAATCTCTCGATCTCTCGAAAAACGCTGTTTTTCTAGGATTCTAGGATACTTTTTTTCGACACTGTTCTACTGCCTCTCGAAAAAGGTTATTTTTCTAGGATTTCAGGCGGGATGTTTCCTGCCGGCAGCCGCTTTTTTTCGATTTCGATGGTGTTCTACTGGCAGCATCAGCAGTCTCGAAAAAGGTTGTTTTTCTAGGAGATTTCAGACGACACGTTAGGTACTGCCTGCCGGCAACTGCTTTTTTTCGAAGCTGTTCTACTGCCAGCAGTCTCGAAAAATGTTGTTTTTCTAGGATTTCAGACGACACGTTAGGGAGTTTTTTAACGTGGTTTTGGCACTCGCTCGTCCTTCAGAGCCATGGTGCTTTCCTGCCGGCAGCTACTTTTTTTCGAAGCTGTTCTACTGCCTGCCGGCAGCTGCTTTTTTTCGAAGCTGTTCTATTGTCAGCAGTCTTGAAAAAGGTTGTTTTTCTAGGATTTCAGACGACACGTTAGGGAGTTTTTTCACGTGGTTTTCGCACTCGCTTGTTCTTCAGAGCTATGGTGTTTTCCTGCCGGCAGCTGCTTTTTTTCGAAGTTGTTCTACTGTTAGCAGTACTGCCAGCAGCTGCAGGCAACAGAATCTCGCCAAAAAGGTTTCTTTTCTAGAATTTCAGCTTTTTTCGAAGGTGTTTTACTGCCAGTTGCGGCT